ATTTACGTAGTAAGGCTTTTAGAAAATAAAAGACATAACTTATCAACGAAAATATAATGCAACATTTGTCATTTCAGTTCTTCTATTCAATTAACGATGGAACGTAACTCCAAGTACCAAATAAGAAGCCTGGGTGTTTTTTTTTTTGACCCAACAGTGCTCAAAGTTATTATCTCATTTTGATCCACCTGCAAAGTTTTCCTAGACTGCATTTACTCAGCGACTACTTCTACATCCTACGCAGACAAAGACAATTTGTGTACTTGGACACCTACTGGTTCCGTTTTTGGCGCATTGAAACTGTGTGGGTGTGCACATCTGTGGATGTGAAGTATGTAGTGCTTTATCTGCTATGCTATGGCGTGTTGCGAAGAGCACATCGACCGCTAAACAGCCGGATCGATGTGGTGGCACATGCGCTGTACAGTCTCGGCGCAGCGTTCGATAAACACCGAGACTACACGTCACCCCTCCGTTGCGTCGCTGAGGTAAACGACTTGAAAACGTTACGATAGGTCTTGATGTTACCATAGCATTTTGTAACAATTAGAGCCCAATGGATCTTGGTATTCCATTTTCTCTGTAATTTATATTCACAAACATGGTGAACTGTGAAATACTATCACGTGAACCTTACGAAACAGTTCAAAATTCCGCAGTCATGGGATAGTCTGCATGTTATTGATTGTCATCGTTTACACACACATAGCGTGTTTATACGGACAGTCAATGAAGCTATTCTCCGGTTATAGTAGCAGTACACACGCTGCTACATGACAGCTGCGGCCATCCGATTATTTTACGAACCTTGATTACTTTACGAGACGTGAGATATAAGTTACACGTGATTCTTATCTATGTTTTGGTGCTTTAATGCCTTTATTGAATAGATAACTACAATTTCAGATAAAAGGGGTTTGTCGTGAACGTAGATTTGTGACAACATGAATTTAGGGTCAAAAATAAAATAATGAAAATATCCTGCTAATACTATAAATACGAAAGTTTTTAAATATGGCTGGCTAATATCTGTAAGGATGACTGGGTGTTCTTTACTCTTTCTTGTATAAATTACTCAATGAATGGGTAAGGCTAATGAAAGGCATTTTAACCAGTTATCATTCTCGTAAACTATTCATATTTTCTTAGAAATTCGTCAAAAAATATCTCCTTGACTGCATCAACTTTTTAAAAAGGTAGAGTTCCATCAATTTGAGTTTTTTCTATTTTTATCTTATCTCATTATTCTAAATTGAGATTCTATTTAAAACAAATTTTATTTTGTTCACGATCATTTGTTATAAAACGCTACGAGCAATAAAACTAATAATAATTAGCTAATGTTGAAATCGATAAGCCTAGGAAGCTAATTTATTTCAACAGTACACAAAGCCAGGGTGGAGCGCCAATTTGTGACGTCACCAATCGATAGTACCCCTACCCTCAACCCTGGGCATTACGGGATGATGTAACGCAATATTTTCGTTGGGGTTGTTGAAACATAGTGTGTACCTACTCTAAATGTAGGTAGACATGGAACCAGACAGTACATGTATACATCGAATTCCAAAACAAATTTTAAACTAAAAGTTTTTGAATCTCACCTTCAAAATAAGTTAAAACGCTGGATAGTATAATTTATTGGAATAAGATTTTTCTCTGTAAGTGAAAATCTCGTTTCCTGCTACATAATTCAGTAATGTTAATTTCAAATAAATTCATTTTACTCTCAATACATCTACTGAATGCACTCCTGATAGTCCCTAGGATGCTGCTGAAAATTATTTTTCTTTAGGTATACATACTATCCCTATACAATGTTCTTGTCAACATGTAATTTTTTGCTTTGTTAACATTTGCAGCTTTTTTTTAATACGTCTTAGCCTTAGCTCTATTGTCACTATCGTCAATTAATAAGTCAAAAGCAGGATTCCAAGAACAAATGTTACTATGGATTTTATAATGAAAAAAGCTCTACAATGTACTTTTTTTTTATTGAACCTTTTAGAATTTATGCAGCCTAGCAAAAATTTAATAATCTGGTACTACAACAATAGTTTTAGGATTATCAGACATTTTGTTCTAGTTAAATAAATACTTACACATTTAAAGAAAGCGCTAACCTAGCCGATGGTTGTATAAGTTTACTAGTTAATACGTGAGCAGAACGTAAATAAACATTGACACGTGTTTATGGGTGCGGGTGGGCGCATGCGCCCTACACATTCAACCATCGATTGGGATTCCCGGCACACTATACGTGATGCTAGGCTATGTGTGCACCAAGCTTACTTATCTACACAATTATATATGAGCACTAAGTATCTCCACACCTGTCTTAAATGGATTCTACCCTTTACAGAACAACTAGATTATATTTTTATAAAGTTTGGTTACACCCTGTAATGTCATTATTGTAAGTCTGAAATGGTCGATCTATTTTATTGATCTATGGTATTTGTAACATGATTCATGTACTAAGCCCAAATTCCCGTTAAATCTTAAATACTAATTATCCGCACTGAAACACTGTGTTTTATGAAGTGTGCTATAGAACATTCAGGTCCCAAAATCGATAATAACCCTGCGGAGGGTGGGTCTCTTGACTGCAGCAACTCGGCAATACGACGATGAGTAATAGTAATTCATTACCAAAATAAAATATTAACGGAAATCTTCATCATCATCATCATCATCATCAGCCTATAAGTGCCCACTGCTGAGCAAAGGCCTCTTCTCACACGGAGAAGGTTTGAGCATTAATCACCACGCTTGCTCAATGCGGGTTGGCGATTTCAAACTTGTAATTAGAAATTATAAGTCCAGGTTTCCTCACGATGTTTACCTTCACCGTTTGTCAGTGGTGTCTAAATAATCATAGAAAGTACATATAACTCGGAAAAAGTCACATTGGTACTTGCCTGGTTTCGAACCCACACCCTCATGCATGAGAAGCGGGCTCCTTTACCTCCGGGCCACCACGACTTCTTAGTAACTGTAAAATATGTCATAGATCCACATAATTCACAGGCGTTCACTACGGCTCCTTTTTATAAATAAACAGTGGTTACCACGTGCCTCTATGCCGGGAAATGCGCAAGCGTGATTTTGGATGATGAGTGAGTGATTTGGATACTTATGTGTGGTTTTGAATGACTTCGATGTAATCAAAAGTGCTTCGTTATATTTTACACTGCTTTTGCGACATTCTTATAAATGTACGCATCATACATATACGATTGAACAGGTTGTTCAATTTACTAACCAATGAGACCTCAGTTTTGAAGAATTAGATTTTTTGAGCTCACTATGTGCACTACTTCACTGCTTCAGGACCAAGTTATAACTATAAAAGAGTTAAATAAAATTAAAGAGAACGATGAAACGGATAGCTAACCAAATTTGATCACTTGATTGCGAATTATAACCGTTGCGCGTCGTCTAAAAAATAGCGAGAGCTGCGGAACAAAGGCTAACGCCTAAATTGATTATCTCATTTGTCTCTACCTCCATAGATATACAAGTTTAAAAATAAATACGATTTCAAATTTGACCGTGAGTTTGTTCCTAATCAAATATTTATTGTAATTTATTGCAATAAACAAAGAAAATAGCATAGCCTGCGTAATCCAGATCGCTACCCCAAATTAAATTCAGATTCAGATACTCACAAATTTTTGTGATCATCCATCATCCATAGCTTATACAACATCAAACGATAGTAACTCAACTATTCATACTTTAAAAAAATATGATGTCTTATGCTAACTCCTACATTTAACATAAATTGTAAGAATAAGTATTCCGAATTATGTAGGTATAAGTGTTTGTACTAAAAATACTTCATCAGAGAGTAAAGAAACACATCATAATGCAAGCTGCGCTACTGTTTTGAATTTTCTATTAATAATAGATTTACTGATAATGAGAATACTGAAGTTGTTTAGTTGTTACTGTTGGTGGGTAAAAATATGAAAGTGCACTACACTTTGTTACAATCGTTACACGCGATGCCACATTTACAAGTCCTCTCCGTCAATCTCCATTTACGTTTACCTGGCCGCATAACTGTTTTTCTTCCGATCCCTCGCTTACAAAACCGATGAGTTGCCTTCATTATTATTAAAGCACAACAGAAATGAGCGGCAACATGGCAATGTTTAACTGCGATTGCGACGTTGCCACGCCGCACGCTCGGCTGACTCGTCACGTGACGTCACGTCTCAAGATGGCCGCCACACCGGTCTCGGCGTCCCCCCGCGCACTCCTGTCTTCCAGCCGCCCCAGCCGGATCCGATCGTGTTGCTCGGTAATAATAATTTAGAATGCAACCGTCAGAAAGGAAACCGAGCGAGAATAGATTGAAATTTAATGCATCGAACACGTCGGCTATACGTGTTCATACTAATTGTTATTCTACAACAGATGCTGTTTACTTTCGTTGAATAATATAGATAGACAGTTGTTAGCGGAATCCCTGGTAGCTGCCAGTAAGGTTGACTAGGTGGTGCCAGTGACTGTGATTGATTTAAGTAACTAGTTTATAACAATTCGTTTCCAAATAAAACTTTTTAAAGAAAGAAGTAGATTACACATTTCAGAAACTACAAGTAAATAGTTTTTTATACCCTATGCTGCATAATTACTCATAATATTCTTTTCAGAAATTAAAGGAATCAAATATCTGCCTTACTATGTTTCATTAATCTAGGAATTATAAATATAAATTTAATTAATACAACACGTAGCGACGTGCATCTTGATAGTCCTCTTTCTTTTTTCTGGGTAGGCTACTTTTGATGATTCTTTGACACACACTCGTGGTACTTTTTATCATTCGCAATTTAATTTTTGGACGGTACTTCTAAATTTAAAATATAAAAGCAGATGCGTTTGTTTGTGCTTGAACATTGTGCATTATATCGTGTTCGTTATCGCGCGAAAAGCATGTTGTGTATGTCGGCTAAGGCAGGGCAAGCAGTCACAGCGTGGAGTGGCGCATCCGCGTCGCGGCTAACGGCTCGTCCTCGGCGCGTCGTCGTGCTGCGCGCGCTGACGTCACCGCTCGATAATGGCCGCCGCCGCCCCGGCCCCCCGCGGCTGCCTCGACCCGAGAGCTTCAGTCTCTCGTCAACCCGCTTTCGGAGCGAATGCCTTGAACGTTACGTACTTCAGATATCCGACGTTCGCGAACCGAGTGTGAAATTGTTTAGTGTTTTATGTGTACCATGGTGACGGTGTTTATTGTATCTGGCAAGAAAAATCTGTGACAATTTATAAGAGACACGAGGAAGACCGATCTCTCGCACACCGATCAACATCCGGCGGCGAGATGTCGGTAATGCAAAAGCGTCAGCACTGTTACCTTTGCGACTTGCCCCGCATGCCGTGGGCAATGTTGCATGAATTTTCAGAGGCAGTGTGTCGTGGATGTGTAAATTATGAGGGTGCAGACCGGATCGAAGTAGTTCTGGACACTGCGAGGCAGCTAAAGCGCGCCCATGGATTTCAAGAGGGCCGCGGGCCTACTCACACCAAAGGAGCTCATCGAACACCATTAGAAGCTCATCAGAATGGAGGAGAAACAGCAACAAGAGGCCAGCCGGCTCCACCGGCACATCACGGCCCTACAACTGGATTTTTACACCACCCCCGTCCCACAGCTAGTGCTGGACTTTTGGCCGAGTACGGAGGTAGGCGCGAAGAACACGAGGGTAGACGTTTGGCACACCTGCCTACTCACCACCTGTCGACACACGCAGGAGCACGCCTAGCCCCTGGTCTTGCACTGAAACGTCAATTGGATGAAGACGATCATCAGAACCATCACGAACCAGCTAAGAGGCTGCTAGAGGAACACGCTCGGCCACCGCTAACCCGTGGCGATTCATTGCCAGCAGTTTCATTAGCAGCTCCTTTTGCCCCGGACCGTGTGTTTAAACAAGAAAAGCACCCTCTACGCACACCGTCTTTTGATGCTTCCTCCTTCAAATCCAATGGTAAGTGTCTAAGACAAATAACAAAAAATGCAATATTCGAAAAATATGTCAATCAAAAGTCGGTATTATGGAGGAAATATTTTTTAAATAGTGCAAACTTATACAGTCTACTGTAATTATAGTTCAATAATTTGACCTGAATATTAGATTTTAGAAATAAATTAGGAAAACCCTATTTTAGAAAATTTATAAAAATATCATTAATTCTTAAGAGTGTCTTCTGAAGTGCCTGTTTGCTACACAACAAAAAAAACATATTCCACCATAATTGTGATATTGTTGTCTTATTGACATCAATATCAAAAATTAATTATGAAAATACTTTTATGGCACATATTTTGATATGAAAATACTATGCAGAGTCGTAAACTCATATCATTTGACTTATGAGGGCCGTGTGTGTGTGTGATTATTGTAACACAACATTTTCAATGTTTACAAATATAACAATGTTAATCTACATAGTTTAAAAAATAGTTATTTAGTAAAGTCACGCGCAGTATGATAACACTAGCGATAGCAAACGAACGTGAACGTGCTCAGACGAATGAGTGTAGATGTTTTGCGCAAGCGTCCGCCACGGGAATCATATCTAGGTAGGTGCATTAACTCAGTCCATAAATACGAAACCAGTCCGACTGGTTGAGCGTTCTCGAAAGCGAGCCCGCGCCCGCGGCCTCTCGCACACCACCGCACTACGTACAAACACCCACGTAATATAAAACGCGGCACAGCGCCGTGAATGCATGCACGACACAGCGGTGTGGCAACGTCGCGTGACGACATTTTCGCTCGCGTACGTATGTAGGTAGGCCGACGGGCGAAAAAATATAGCGCCTGCCTACGCTTGGCAGAGTTGCTCGACCACATTCCGTTGGCGTGTGTATAGGGAGCTCGCGGCCGCTCGCCACGAGCCGCCGGCCAAAAAGGTCACCGGGCGTGACGTCACCGCAGACATATGGGTCGTGCCTTTACACTAAACATCCAACCATTTAAAAGTTACTCATGCATAGGTAAATGTTTTTATTTATACAAATGTCTATTGAAGAAGAGTTCAGATTTCCGGATTTTTAAAATCAACTCATAACTCCGTTTGACCAGTCGTTTTCGAATTGCAACTTGTGACTATTCAGATTAATAAGCAAGCATTTTATAAACATTTGATGGAAGACAGAAAGCATATGATGACTCTATTACCGTACACATTTTAAACATTTAATTGTTTATGATGATAAGACAACTTTTTGTTTGTTTATCATTTATGTGAATTAGAATCGAACTAAAAGTTTCATAACACCAACTGCCGACACTAACAGCATACAGATATGGGACCTACATCCTTACGATGTTTGGCAACGTCGCGGTTGCCTGTTCGCGACACGACTCGTTGCACAAACGAGTGTGGCACTCGTATCTTCAATTAGTGTACGTATGTATGTACCCACCCGTCTACTGCACGAATTAGATCGAACGGCCTGCCGAGAGCCGCGACGTTGTGTGACCAGGCAATGACACATCGCCGTTCACTACGTAGCTTGTATTAACACACAAAGCTATTTATAAGATATTATATGCGTGTGCGAACGTGTGTTTACTATCCGTCGGTCCACCGCAAACGATGTGTCATCCAACATTGAATGTGAGGTTATTCGGACAAATTGAAATGATGTCGTACTGGATGTGGTGCGTCGGCGATACTCACGTCCAGCGTCTTGAGCCAAATACTCTAGCTCTCTACCACTGACATATTGAAACTAATTTCACTTTTATCTTATTTATTTTTTATAACTGTGTTCCACGGTTCAAGGGTTTGTTTATATTATGAAACGTGATGTTTTCTTTAGTAGAAAGGAAATAATGAAAGCAGTACTTGTCTTTAACCGGATATCTTATTCCTTCTAATACTCGTATAATATCGACTTTTGATTTACACAAATAAGCCGTATTAGGGCATCATAAAAACATTCGCCTTATTGTGATTAGTACATAATATTTCCACAGGTTATGGAAATGCGGCACCATTGACAAATGGCTCAGCTGGATCACCACTTGGTCGCACGGCTGGTTCACCTCCAGTGACGGGAGTTGCTGGAGCCGGTCCGTCACCAATGGCTGCACTGATGTCTGTAGCTGACACGTTGCCTCCTGGTTCACCAAGATCCGCTGGTGGTTCTCCACCACAGCCACCTCCACAAAGATCCGCAAGCCGCTCTAGCCAACACTCACCAAACTCATCAGGTATGAATATTAATTTCAGTAGCTACAAAATACGAGAGTAGTTTCCTTTCTTTTTAATTTGTGTGACGTATGCCGTTCAACACCGTTCTTACTTTTATCTGAACCGTTGTAGAAGATTCACTTGATAGTACGTGTCAGTGTATCGTGCAGAAAAGAAAGTAGTTGCGAACACGTCAGTTTTTGCACAAGATGCCGGTACAGATTAACGGTAGTCCGTGTTCACTGTGTCGTATCGTGTGAGGGGTCGGACTCGGGCGGGCGTCCGATCACTGCGCCGGCGCCGGCCGTGACGCGGCGTGGCGCCCGACGACCGCTTGCGCCCATACCGTACAGCTACAGTCTGCTGACCTATTACCGAGCCTCACCTCGACACGTGGCTAAAGCAAAGCAGCGGACGCCACTCTTATTTTATTTATAACTACTTGATGAACTTGCGTATGGCAGACGGTAGCTAACGATTCCATTCCGGTCCGACAGGGTCGAACGGCGGGCGGCGGTCGTCGGGCTCCCGGCACGTGTCGTCGACGACATCGGTGTCGTCGACCGAGGCGGGCGAGGGCACGGAGGCGGCGGCGCCAACTCCCGCACCTCTGCTCAAGTGCACGCTCTGCCAGGAGCGCCTTGAAGACACGCACTTCGTGCAGTGCCCAAGTCAGCCTCACCACAAGTTCTGCTTCCCCTGCTCCCGAGACTCCATCAAGCGACAGCAAGGATCAGAGGTTAGTTCTAGCTTGTTTCTTATTATGAAATTAACTCAAGACTTTTTAAAGTTTAACAACGTGTGACAAAATATTTACGTAATATTTGGTTTTTCACAGGTGTACTGTCCAAGTGGGGATAAATGCCCATTGGCAAATTCGACAGTTCCATGGGCTTTTATGCAGGGTGAAATAGCTACAATCCTCGGCGAGGAGTTCAAGCCGAAGAAAGAACGGGAGACCTAGGGCAGCGCTCCGCAGCCCCGACTTTACCTCTTGTCCCTCTCGTTGTGAACCGTGCACGGGAGGAGTAGCGACTGTGCCGTGGCACGTGGCCGCAAGCGTCGCAGTCGGCGCGCGGCTCCGCGGCGGGGCGAGGCCGGGCCCTCGTCCGTACAAACCGATAACTTGTATATAACTTTGTAAATAGTAAACTTGTATGTTTAGTTCGCTCACCAACAGCCATCGCGCTACGGACATGGTACGTTGCGGCTGACGAGCGGGGTCGGCCGCGCCACTGAGCACTGTGCTGGGCGTATCGCATCTTTTATTTTATTTATTTTTGAGCTCACTGTTCGACTAGGATCGAATTGAGAGCGGTGCGATATTCCGAGTATAGCGTTTGTCTATTTTGAAGAATTTTTCGATTATTATTGCGTTGTGGAGGTTAACATACCTCGTACGGAGTTGTCGTTATATTTCGAGGGTGGTAAGCTGCTTTGCGAGCAGATATTTCTTCGGGATGCCATTTTCTTAGTTACCCTTAGGTCCTGAACCATAGTGAACATGGCATTTATTTATGTGATTCTTATATATACTATACAAGTATTATACGATATAATAATCATGACATTTTGTAGCTCAGAGTACTGATTGTAAAATCGTAGTTATTTAATGACGGAAGCGTATTGCTCCCTGTACAGACCGTAGATTGGTGTATATTGTATTTATCACATACAGCGCATGAAAAATAGTCTTATTTTAACTATGAAGCGATTTATTCAGAGTGGCTCGAGTTCCGTTACTGTCTCGCATTTGGCGATAAAATTCCGCTTACGAAATTTTGTTATTTAATTTCACTGGTATTGATAATTGAGAATAAATCAAAATTCGATTTGATGACGCAGAGCTCGTGGTAGCCGCGTCTTTTTAGTTGATTATTTTGTAAGGATAAGTTATAGTTACTTGGTGGGAGTCGCAGACGCCGCCACCGGGCGCGGGCGCGGTGGCGGCGCGTGCGCCGGCCAGTTGCGAGGGCGCTTGATACGTGGGGACGTACCTAGTCATTTTGTGAAATGTCAAATTGTCAGAACCGCGAACACGCGGCCGTTATAGGAACTCTTAAAACTCGCTGCTATTTGTATAAAGTGAAGTAATCATTATATTATTATCATTATATATGTCATAATATTAAACGATTCGTAGTTTACGTCAGTTTCGAAAGCTATCAGACGACAACCGTTTATAATGTATCGTTGCGTTTCTCAGCAGAGAGTGGAACGCGTGGTCGAATCTTTTCAATGGTACCTCAGAAATTCCCCTTAGTTTAGTATAACATTCAATGAGTTTGTCTTTTGCACCATTTGCAAGATTTCAATATTTTATTAACCTAATATTTATGCTTGTGAAATTTAATCGTACCAACTTCAATATCATTAATTCGATAGCTTTTATATCTTTAAATTGAGACGTTATCAGTGTCTTTAAATATTAAAAGTTGGAACATACAATGAAATTGATATGTCGATTATTTATTTTAGATGTTATTTGTGTACATATACGTACGTTGTACATACTTGTCTACTTGTAAATATTTAGGTAGCAGCCGGCGTACACTGTGTACTGCCGATGCGATCAGGGCTATAGATCCAGTATTAATAGGACTTTGAGCCATGTTGTTTATTCTAATTCTTATTTGAAACTGTTATTTTACAAGAATTGCTAAATTAGAAAATGATTGTGCTTTGACAGATATATTTTACGCATGACTACATACATATGTATATTAACTTGTTTCATAATACTTAATTATGTCCGTATGGAGGGCGAGATGTGCACACCTCGAGTGCCATTCTCTTTTATATCATTGTACTCAGCTGGGTTTTCTACTGAATTATGTACTTCAAGTGGATTTTATTTAGTTGTGTGATATTTGGTATGATTTCATTGCCAAAGGGCTTTTTATCAAGTGTCGCGATTCTGATAGATTCGAAATTGATATTAGTATTATCAATGGAAATCACCCGCGATGGGTTTGTCATATTATGTCGCCAAGTTTGGCAAAGGTGAAAAATATTGTAAGCACAAATTGTGCGTAATACTTTTTTATTGATTTGAAATGTTACATATACGTCAATGTCGAAGAGGAAACCAATATACTGAACGATTTAAGTTTGTTATTCAACAATGGTACAGAGAAAATTATTAGTGTTTTTGACTCGCAGTGAATATTGCGTGCATTTTGTTATATTTCTACTTTAATGTTTAATGTAACTTTGACATCAATTCATAACTAGGGATCTCAACAGCTGACATACATAACATGTAATAGGAGGTGCTGTTCTGCTAACGCAATATTCTCTGCAGTGCTGCAGTTAACGTACATGTAACATATCATACGAATACTGTCCGCCTTTACCCCTAGGCTTGTTTGTAGACGTCGACGATGTATCGACACAAAACATATGTATCATTTTGAGACTTGTCTCTTTCTTACTGTAAGCAGCAAGTGAAATGCTTCGATTAAGACGTTAATGTAAATGTTGGTGAAATACAATTGATGTGATTTTGTATATTTTCGCATTTTTATTTTCCCACCTATTTCCTACGTGTCCTTTTTTAATTATAACAAGGAATTCTTAGCTATGTGAATTTACATTTCAATCATGAAAATTCGAGACACAATAGAAGAACAATAGGTGCGCGAAAGCCGGCGTTTTGCTTGAATTTTGATGAATTCAAATAAAGAAATAATTAAGGATAAGGTACAATGGGATTGACACATTCATGTGCATATAAAATCTTACTACCTAATTAAATAATGTAAAGAATTCTTTACAGTTATGGCTATCCAAAAAGCATCGTCAAAAACTAAATCTTAAGTTATCCAGGTATAATGAAAACTATTCAGCGAAAACAACCCAATTACCTTGTCCTTTTAATCTCTAATGTACCTAAGTGTTAAAGTAATCTATTATAATAGATAGGTAAACACGTAATGTTTGCACACAGAGCGGAGCACGAGCGCGTCGGACAGACTGCCGGAGCCGCTGTGCCTCACCAACAGATGAGACGCCTCGCCTCGCCATACCCAGTCGATCGATATTTGGTCAGTATTTCTTCAAACCACACATATACCAGTATTTCTACAAACCATACATGTGCCCAAACAAAACATACCTACTGCAAAACTACCTGCTCAATCTAATGCAAGATGCTTTATACGTTCTTGAAGTCAATCCCCAGCAGAAACTGTAGTTAGATATTGTTGTTATTTATTTCTTATTATATCTATGTATATCTATGAAGGAGAAATTAAAAGTAAGAATAAAAATGTGTATTGGAAATTTGGTAGTTAAAGTAAGAAATAATACAGAATACACACTCTGCGAACTTACTTCTATCGCGAAGAGTCTGGCTATTGTTAGTGCCACTTCACAGATTTTGCTAATTATTGTCTTTTGAACTTACAGGTTGAGAGCAGCAAAAAGTTTGAAATGGTTAATATCATAGATGACGATATATGGAACACAGAGCCAGCATTAAAACCAGAAGATGAAATAATATTAAGGAAACTCCACGATACGCTGCAATCGACTGCGGATGACCTGAAGCTACTGTCCGGGGAATTGACAAAATTTCGTGAGCCAGGCGTGCAAGTCAAAACAACTCCCACGCCATTAGACGAGGAATTCAATGAGAAAGTTCATATTGAGGAAATTGTAAACGCCAAATTTCATGGGTACAAAATTATTGATAAATCAGCATCTAACATACCTGATAATAAGTCTAAAAAAGAAATTAATCCTTCAACTGACTCAAAGTATCATAAAATCCCAAACATTAAAGCTTCTGTAAATGTTGAAAAAGTAAATGAAAAGCCTATTATTAATAGAAACTTAGGAAAATCTCGAACTAAAGTAATACAAATAACTGGTAATACAAATAGCACAAAGACTGAAAAGCTTAATAATGGTACAGTGGTCAATGCACCAACTGTTGCTTATAATGAATATTCTTACGTGTACGTAGAACCAAAGCCTCAAACGCCTAACAAAAAATTGCAAGTTCAGGAAATGCCAAGTATAAACATTAGAAGTGAACTCAAAGAGCAAAAAGTTTTACAGTTAGATATTATGCCAGAAGTAACGAAACGTGATACACCTGATCTCGTTAAAAACAACGTAACTGTCGTGGCGATTCACCACGAGACGTGTAAACCGGTACAAACACAGCCTACTGCGATGCTCCAAGACGAAACATTACGCTATCAGTCGAGTCGACCAACCACATCTAGAAAAGTATCTAAAATGTCAACATGTGACAGTAGTGGCTCCACTAACAATATAAGTTCTGACACTAAAATCAAATTAAAAACACAAAAACGTATTCTTACAAATATTAGAACTTCCCCGAAAACGTCAGCCCGTTGCGACCGTAAGAAAAAGAATAGTAAAAAAGAACCTGAACAGAGACCTCACTTGAATATGGACGAATGGCGAAAAAAACTGAATAGTGTTTATGGAGCAACAATAACCTCTAAAAAAACTATGTCGTCACAAAGTAAAACTAAAAAACCCACGTTAAAGAAATCAAATATTCAACAAGACAATAAAACTAAAGCAAATAATTTGAACAATACCGAGTACATACCATACTCAAAATTAACTGTTGGAGGAGTGAGAGCAAGTGACATTGAACGAGAAATATCAGATATTCCTAACAAGAAGGATATACCATTAAGTCCTATTTTAGACCGAATCTTAACCAGTAGAGAAAATTCATTTAGCTTGAATAGCTCTCAAACACGCCAACCAAACGATAAAGCAAATATTTTTACTACGTCTGATGAAAATTTATTACAAGAAGTGATTGATATAGAGAAAACTGTAAGCGAGACTTTATCACAAAATTTAAACAACATCAAATCAAAAATAAAGATACAAGGTGATGAGGCGGATGACAATGACAGTTATGCTGACGACTTTGAAGAAGAAAAGTCAGCTCAGTCAGGCTCTGAACAGTCAGGCAGTCAGAAAACAAACACTTTAACTTCAAACAACGATCAGAAGTCGTTTGACGAAGGAAATAACACATCTGAAAATAACAATAGACATAGAAGCGTTCACAGTACAGCACGAGAACCAATGTCAAGTCCATCACATACTAATATTAAGCTAAACGAGACGTATAGAAAGACTTCTAATTTGTCTTTCAAAAATGAAGTTGATGTATTTGAATATGTGCATTCTGTCAATACTCAGGATTCCGCCACACAAAGCAATACCGAACTGAAATTATCTCTTAAAGAAACTCAAACGTCGCCTGTCAACGACAACACCATACAACCAATTCACAACGACCTTTGGCCAAGCATAGATCCTAAAGGAGAAGTAGAAAAAATGTTTCAAATTGAAAAAGAATTCATAAAAAAGCTCATTGTGGAGGAGTATGGCGACTTATTAGAAAAGAATATAGACAAACCTTCGACTTCAAAAGAAGTTCAGTTAACATTGAACGTAGCTGCATCACAAAAAAACACTCAAACGTCGCCAGCACATGTGAAGAACGTCATGACTTCTCCAACAAAAACAAAAACTAGAACTACTTCGCCATTTTCAAAAATAACCGTCGATCATCACACAAGCCCTTTGATATTTGTTGTTGATGAAAATAATGACAAATTAGAGATAGAAAACGATGAGGAACCTGGCATTTCCATAAACTTGTCATCTCCAAGATTTAGTTTGCGTTTGCCGCGAACATCTAGAGAAGTTTTATCTAATTTAGAAAATAGTGTGCCAAGAACAGCAAGACATAGTGCTTCAAAAATTAAAAATGTTAAGAAAAATTATATAACAACGCCGAGTACAAGTTCCTTTGAAGCTGACTCTTCAGAGATTAGTAGTTTAGGTGAAGTGAAACTTGCTAGAAAATTAAGTAGAGCTAGGGTTGTTTCAGAAACTGATTCGATATCATCGTCTTCCACGTCGGAAGTACACTCAGGGATCTTACCTCTAAGGAGTGAAGGCGAAATGAGTGTCAGCTATAAACAAAAATCTAATAAGCAACACAAAAGTGAGGGAGAGGCTAGTGTTGGCCTGTTTTAAATGAATTTATACTAATTTTAATTTATGCTAATGAAATCGTCATTAAAATATCTAAGTGGTGTCGTATTTAAGTTAAATTTATTTGTTAGAGTACATTGTAATGAGAATCAGAATGCAGTTCTTTTAGTTATCTACATAAATGTAGTGATTTCTATGCTATAATGTGCTGTTTTGAACAAAAATGTTAAATATCGATTAAAAGTCTGAAATTGAATATTGGATTAAGTTGAACTGCAGCATGGTTGATGGATGATTGCTTAAAGTGATAACATAAACTACTGATTCTCATTATATGGCAATACTGTGAGGTCAGTGTCAATGATATTGTTGTTCACCTAAAGTACAAATCAATTAAATAATATAATTTTAATGTACATAACCGATATCTGTGCCGGGATCATTAGCGGAATACAAAGAGAAAACTTAGTTACTTTAGGCTTTCAAGTTATCTAGTTCTAAATAGTGTTTTTACTGTTTAATGCTCCACAGTAGAGTTCGTCTTCCAAATTCCAGCATGTACTTAGTATTTAATGCGAGGTGTTGTAGAGAGTTAGCACAAAAACGTAAGATCTCAAATTTATATAAAAATAAATATCAAAAATGTTCCGATCCGCTAATATTAAATTGGTGCACGTGTTTTTATTGTGTATTTTTAAAGCCATTTAGTTTTATTATAATTAGGTAAATAAGTGTATTTTTTGCATTGTGAATTTATGATGATTTAATAAAATAAGTTATTAGAAAAATTTGTTACTATTTATTGTTTTCTGATCTTGTTATGTTCAAACCGATTTATTCTGGATTACAGTGTATTCTGAATTTGTTGCTCTTTAGAAGAATACTCCTTTACCCCTTCAGTTTCGTTTTATATAGTTCAAATTTGAAAACTTTTCAATTATTATTTTTTTTTTGTTTTTTCTTATTCTTGCTGGCTTGTTAAGAAATAAATTGATTTAATAACTTTTTGCTAATCTAATCTAACTAAAGTAACTAAAACTTTTGTAAAGATCAAAGGAATTCAAAATATTAAGTTACTTTGCTACCGCGATAGTATTACTTTCGATTTCTAGTGATAAGCACGAGCAACAAAATCGTTGTTTTGGTAAATAATGAGCAAGTGTTTAGCAAAACTATTTATTTTTAATTAATTTTCCTGAGATCGGAATTCCTGATTCTAGCCTGATAGGGCTCTGCTATTACTTTGGTCAAGTTGGCGCATTTATACCGAAACATGGAACCCCTACAACATTATCAGCCTTTAAATTAAGGCTTTAAGCTCTTCTTACACGGAGAAGGTTCGAGCATTAATCACCACGCTAACTCAAGGCGGATCAAACTAAATATTTTTTCACGATGTTTTTAGGACGGCAAACGAGCAGGCTGACAGAATTATCTGTGGTAAGCATTCAGCTCAGCCCATGTTCACCCAACGATGGTGGAGTTAATTTTGGGGACTAGGAATTGGGAGATTAAGTAATTTGGGAGGGATTGGTAACCGCACTCACACGGCAAAACACAACGCTGTGGTTGTTTCAAGCTGGTTTTCTGTGAGGCCGTGGTATCACTCCGATCGAGCCGAAGCATTAGCTCTCTCACACTTGTATAACAATATGTCAATGGTGTGTACTATGTTTTACTTCACCGTATGTCAATGGTATCTAATCGATCATAGAAAGTACACGTTACTCCGAAAAAGTCCCAGGTTTCGAACCCGCACCTTCATGCAGCTTAACTTCCAAGCCACCTATACACCAGCCGGGGTTGCGGGGTAAGCGCAATGAGGCACCGCGACCTCGGCCCAGAGCAGGAGAAGGAACAGGGGGGGGGTTTTAGTCAGTAAGAGTCTGACACTTCCTCCCGCCCGGCCCTGGACAGGAGAAGTCATTTGATGATTTTCTCCTCACAAAAAAAGCCACCTTTACATATTTCATCTACCTACTTACATCTACGTGTATACAAAAGTGGTTTTTATTATCAAATGTGTTACATGAACTTTCAAATAAGTTATGGAAGTTTGAGTTACTTGCTTTGAATAAATGAAATACACTCGTGAATCAATTTTGATAACATTATTTTACATGTGCAAGTATAGAATGCACTTTGACAGAAGGTATGTAAGTACGGTATTATCTACTAATGCAATGCATACAGAAATATTGAAATTATTTGTAAGTATTGTTGAACTATTTCTAGCGATAAATATATAGTTATACCTATTAATTGTGCACGCGGTTCAATATTAAAAGATTAAGTTGTTTGTTTGCACTGAATAAATTCTAAATGTGTTGGACAGATTTAAAAAGTACTGTACAATAGGAATGTTTACTTTTTAAAGCTATATTGGTACTAGGAGTCTGAAATAAAACGCGCGTTGCTCACGATGTGTACCATGTTTTCTACGACGATAGAGCTAGTCTGAGAGATCAATTATACTACATTTAGTAGGCCTTCTTGTTAGAATTTGCCTATTCTACATAAATTATTAATAATTTTACTTTAGTAATTTGTCAAAAACAATCAGTCAGTGCCCTCAGTAAACTTATCAATATTCTAAAGCAAACATTTATCTCTCGTAACAAAAAAAAAAGGTTCAACGATTGGTCACACAGCTCGCAACATGATAACTATACCGTACACTGTAAATAATGTCAAGAAAAACATTTTGTTGACGCTGTTGTTATTTTATAAGCGCTTCAAATATTCCTAACTAGTGTTCTTTCTGAACTCTTAAACTTTCCCTGAAATATTTTAAGACTAAAATTATCCAAAACGGAGCCGCCGTTCTCGAGTTTTAGCGATAGGTACTAACGAACAAGAGTTGATTTTTATATAAAAGTCTAGTTGTGAACCGCGGTTTCATTCGCGTAGTCTTAAATAGCCCATAATTACCGGGGACAATGCTGCTTCACAACATTAAAATAATGTTTTCAAATCAGTCAAGTAAAGCATATTTAGTTGAAACAAACAAACAATCAAATATAATTTACTACAAATATCTACTTAGTATAAAAGTACTTATAGATGTTATTATTAATTATTATATCGAGAACAGTCAGTGATTACCAACGAGGCGCGGGCGCAACACGTCTTGTTTAGTTTAATAACCATGAAGTATTTTGTGGTTTTTGTTTTGTTGGGCACTAGCTGGTGCATAGATATTCCTAGAGCTGGGGATGAGCTTAAGTACGACTGTGAATATTGTCAGCCAGAACAGATCCACATAGCATTCGGCAGTAAGTTCTTTACGATCGTATTTCAACTCTATTATGGTTAAGGTTTACAGTGTAGATAGTTCAAATTACATCGCTAAATAATGTTTTCATTACTAAGTGCTGAATTAAATTGTGTGCGATGGTAAGTACCTGCCTACTGTATATCGATTTAATGTTTTCACATAGAAGGCCAGAAATAAACATATAAAAGAACTAGCTTCGCTTTCGTGGTGTGTTGATAAAGAGTAGCCTATCCCCTATTCCGGAGCCGTTAACCGTCCAGCCGTTTTTAACGTGATTGAGTAACAAACATCCAAACAGCGGAACTTTCGCATTTATAGTAAGAAGTAAGATCTACGCGCCAGGAGTTCTTATAGCATCTTTACTTGATTCGCCTTACTTGTTATGTCTTTAGGTATATACCTATTATTTCCAAACAAAGACAAATAAATGAGTAATGAACTTATGTGTGTGACATTACTTATGCTATCTACACATAAACGTATAAGAATGCTAACTCAAAGTATATGCTAACCGATGCGATGGTTTAAGTTTTCTCGACCGATATATAATCATAAATCTTAAAACCGTTTTAGTCACATTGCATACCTAAGTAACTATCGAATTAAATAATTAGTTGTCTTTGGATATGGCTAACCAGTGTATGTGAAAGTTTATAAGGATGTATCTGTGAATGTATTATGCTCTTTCATGCGAAATTAAGCAAAATACTACAATTGGATAAAGCAATAATGTATCCGATACAATACATAGGCTTCTTTTATCTCAGAGGCGCGGGAACACAGAAATCTATGCGCGGGAACATCCGCTCGCAGAAGCTAGTGTTTTGGTTAGGTATAAAATAGTATTGCTTTATTTATGTTCTTTGTTTATTATCTACATACCGTCTGCCTTTGTTGCACTAAGTACATAAAAATAAAGAATCGCTTTAAATGGAAGAGTATCTCTAATCGACGTGTATTTTTTTTACTTATCTCTTTCTCTGTTTCTCCTTTTAATAGCTAGAAATGAGTATGTTTCTCACTTGTCTATTTTTTATTACGCAAATCGTACGATTATTAATCATCATTGACCTAAAAGACTAAGTACCTATAATTCTATAAATCTATCGCACCGTCCATAAATTAGTCCGTCCCTATACCTAATATGCGGGCAAGCTAGTTGTCGCATCGGTTAAGAATCGGCAATACCCCTATTTTGAACTTCGTGCTATAACTGTGAACAAATAGGCACAATAAAAAAAGCAGTAGGTTTTTTTATGGTATAGGTCGGCAAACGAGCAGGCCGATTACCTGACAGTAAGCAAACAGCGCCGCCCATGGACACCCGCAACACCAAACGAGTTACGAGTACGTTGCCAGCCTTTTAGGGGTTTCGGATATTTAAGGATTGGGAAGGAATGAGGGGAGCGGGAGGGATTGGACCTCTGGTAACCTCACTCACACGGCGAAACACAACGCTGTGGTTATTTCACGCCGGTTTTCTGTGAGACCGGGTCGGGAATCGGAAAATTGGTCGGCTCTCCCACACTTACAATACCGCCAACGTATCTTGGCGAGTCTGAAGTTAGCCGATTAGCTGCGCAGTACACAATTTTGTTCCTAAAAGATCCAGTGCGCAAACAAACGGCTAACTTCAGACTCGCCAAGATACGTCAGCTGGACTGTATGTAGGGTAAGTCCCTACACAATTTATCAATTGCTTGCGGAACCCGCGAATTGATCTCGAAATTGCTTGCTCGCTAGCGTAAGATCGTTTACGTGGCACACGGGTTTCCATTCAAAATTAGAAATCCAAAATGATGGAAACTATTCTTGGTACACGTACGATATATCAAGGTCTATTAAAATATAATCCCTACTTTTTGGACAAAGATTTCGAAAAGACGAAGACTAGCAATTTAAGAAGAGAAAAACTAGATATAATCACAAAATTCTGTATACTTAATTTCTCGATGAAAGATTTTTTGTTTCGGGATAGGTCGGCAAACGAGCTGACGGAAATGCCTGATGGTAGGCAATCGGCGCCGCCCATGGACAACTGCAACAACAAAGAAGTAACGAGTGTGTAGCGGGCATTTTCAGGATTAGGGTGTCGGATGTTTAAGGATTGGATAGGAATGCGAAGAGGGAAAGGGTTAGGCCTCCGGTAACCTCACTCACATGGCGAAACATAACGCTGTGGTTGTTTCACGCTGATTTTTATAGAATCACTCCGGTCAAGCCGACCCATTCGTGCCGAAGTACACACTAAATATTACGAAAATGTCCCTCTAATTAAGTTTCTCTGGTTATTACGTAAGCTCGCATTGCAATCTCATCATCAATACACATATTAAAGAAATGAAGTATTTATTAGGTAGGTAGGTAAAGTGGGTAAGTAATAACCTACACAATTAAGAATAAACTAAGCCGTTACATTTACGTATTTTGTGTAGTTTAACTCAAAATACCTAAGTTTAAAATTAACAATAACTTAATACCCAATCAATACAACGATTATACATTAATAATAACTTGATAATATCTCGAAACTTACCTTTTCAAGTCAACAACACATTTCCTTATTAAGATGAACGAACACTGAGATTAAAGTAATGTATTTTCACAATTTATGATTAAGTTTCAAACTGGGGTAATAACAACAATGATGGTTATTTAAAAATTTTATGAAGTCAAAATATTCATAGGCGCCCGCGCTACCTACACCAAAGTAAAAATGACAATTTATTGACAGATGCAGATGACATTTTTAATGTCATTCCGTTTCACTAATTTTTAAGCCATATTAAGATAAATAATAAATAAATCAATTTAATTCAGTAACATCCATAAGTCGTAAATAAATGGCATTTGTTGGGAATGATCAAGTTTCGCTGTCGACTTACTACTCCATAAGTCCTTAGTTTCTGTCCTTAGGTGTGAGGTTTCAGAAAAAGTATAATTATTAGAGAGACTGATACTTTTTTATGTCATCGGGCGGCTAGCGAGCAGACGGATTATCAATCAGGTGGTAAGCAATCAGCGCCGCCCATAGCTTCTTGCATCGATTACTTATATTGACTCTAATTTTTTCAGACAAAGTGAACGACATAGTGGTGACATGGTCGACGTTCAACGACACAGAGGAGTCACGCGTCTCGTATGGCGAAGGCTTCAGGAATAAGGAGGCGACGGGATCTAGCAAACTATTTGTAGATGGGGGCAAGCGCAAACGTAGCCAGTATATACACACCGTCACCTTGAAGGACCTTAAGTTTAACACCAGTTATGGTGAGTTAAGCGTATTAGAAATCTCAGCTTTACTTTGGAAGATGAACGTGATCGTTATATATCGTGAAATATAATTTAATTACCGGCAGTATACCACGTGGGCTCTATGTACGGATGGTCGGAGGAATTCACATTCCATACGGCACCGGAAGGTGAGGACTGGGTTGTGCGGGCTGCCATTTACGGTGACCTGGGAAGCGGGAATGCACAAGTAAGTTACAATTATTGTTGAACTTGGGCTATCCACAAAATGCGATTACAGTTACCGCGCCTTTAGAATCCGTATATAGTTTGCCTAGTAAATTATAAAAGTATAGATTAGTTAGCTTATGAATATGGTTCAATAAGTTTTTTTAAACTTATTTTCAGTCTCTACCATACTTACAAGACGAGGCTCAACGTAACAAGTACGATGTGATCCTACATGTAGGAGACTTCGCCTACGACATGGACTCTCATAATGCTCTCGTTGGTGATGAGTTTATGCGACAGATCCAGCCAGTTGCTGCAGTCGTACCATACATGACATGCCCCGGGAACCACGAGGAGAAATAGTATGCATTATTAATAGTAACTGTATGCAAATAAAATGTTGTATTTGTTCATATTCATCAAAACAGGCTTCAAACGTTTCCACAGCAACTTCAGTAACTACGCCGCACGCTTCACGATGCCCGGCCCAGACTCGAGTCTATTCTACAGCTTTGACCTGGGCCCCGTGTACTTTGTGTCTATCTCCACTGAAGTTTACTACTACCTACACTACGGCATCAAGTTGATCTGTGCCCAATATAACTGGCTGAAGAAAGATCTGGAGAAAGCGAATCTTCCAGAGAATAGGTGAGGACACGAAACCGATGAAATGTAGATATGTTAATCTGGTGGCTCCAATTTGCTTTGAATAAGCTAATGCTTTTGTTTTAGATCGAAGAGACCGTGGATCGTGGTGTTCGGACACAGACCGATGTACTGCGATGACAGTATCGACAAAAACTGCGACATAGAACGAACGCGGATCGGACTGAACGGGCTTTGGCGTGAGATTTACATCTATTTAAATACATAAACAAACGTATTCATATGAAAACACATTATTATAGAAAAATTACTTTCTCTCTTGCAGCTTTGGAGCCTTTTTTGAAGGATTATGGTGTAGATGTGGTGATCTGGGCCCACAATCATTTGTACGAGAGGTCGTTCCCACTGTACGACAATAAGGTGTACAACGGTTCAACTGAGTATCCTTACGTCAACCCTGGGTAATTCGTCGAAAAGATTTTATACTGTCTTAAAATGTACCTTTACAAGTTACTTTGTGCGTATTTTTATTGTTATAACGTTGAATTATTCCAGAGCTCCAGTCCACATCATAACAGGATCAGCTGGTTGTTGGGAGGAACATTCACATTTCAGAAGTAAGTGTAGATTAACTTAATGAAGATAAAATTTATAAAGATGTCAAATAAATCATTTATGTATTTATCTTTTTACGTTTCCAGACGAGACAGCTCCATGGTCTGCCTTTAGGAGCATACATTATGGGTACACAAGGTTCGAAGCTCACAACAAGACTCACCTCTATATGGAACAGGTCGGAACATTCTCTAATTATTTTTTTAATCTCGTGTCAATTGGTCCTTTCGCGTATAATGGCGCATAATGAATCGTCAAACAACCATCATTGGTTATTAGAGGATTCCTTCATAAACAGTTTTGTAACTAAAACATTTGAGCAAATAAACATAAGTTAGGATTGATTATTGTTTTATTTTAACAGGTCGACGTGGAACAAAACGGTCAAGTCATCGATTCTCTGTGGCTGGTCAAGGACTTCCACAAACCTTACGATATATAATAAGTATTTTGTTTTAGTTTGTAATTCGTAAACACATTCGTAAAAACATTCTGTTGTGTGAAATAAATAAACAGATATCCCTACTTATAACTTTGTTTCATTTCTTAGTTTTCACTGATTTAATGTCTACGAGTTCTGCCAGTATGGTCGCGTGGGGTTTTAACTAGTAGCAATGTTCTGAGAAACAGGAAAAGCCAATTTAATTTACGTATATTTACGTATCTACCTATTTTTTGTTTGTTAAGTAAATTTGAACTAGTACCCTAAATAAATTATAGTTAGCCACGTGGTACGTATAGCAAGCACGTACCAAATTGTTTACTAAATAATGGTGCAAATATAAACACACATATAAAATAATTTATAAAATTTATAATAAATATGGTATACGCTATCTTGTCTTATATTATCAAAATCTATATCATAAAACGTATTCCTCTCTTTGATATCTTAGCTTGCTGTGCCATCAGGGTCCATAATTTCCCTTTTCTACCATATGTAGGTACCTACATTATCGAAAAGTAGAAATATATTACTGTGTCGTGTCACGCCAGAAGCCTATCGGTTTCATACATTTAATATGGCTGGAGAGATAATCCCTCCCTTCATATTTCCTAATCATTCCGTCTCTATCCTCCGAACACTGGCAGCACAATTGCAATACCTCTGTGGAAGGTATCTGGAGGCCATACATGTTGCTTACCAGTGATCCGCCTGCTCGTATGCTGCCCTATTCCGTGCCATTTTGGGCGTGGCGTGAATAATTTATCAATCGCAACTAGGTAATATTATGTTAAAAATACTTTAGTTTTTGTCGTAGTACCCATCTAAAACCTTAAACTATAGAAAAGTATAGTATGTAGAAAATATATTTCATTCCTCCATGCCTAAACGAAACGTGATTTTATGTACGTTTAGAAATCATATTTATCACCATTGCGTCTTACCTAAGTCATTTTTATTCTAGAAGATTATATGATGAAAACCGATTTTATTTTAATGTATTTTTGGAGATAATTGCAAATATTTTTTTTATTAATTCATCTACAACGACTGTCGACCTATTAGAGCAATGCAATGTATTTCAGATTTCGCTTTCGGAATGTCAAAAGTGACATTTACGATTTTACGACAGATTGGACGAAGCGATGTTTATAAAATTTGAAATCAAACAAAGGCCAATTAGTTAATAATTGTGCGTTTCGAGGCGAAGAACAGCTTCATAATAACTCTATGTTACAGTATTATATCTGTAATATTTATTGACGGAAGTGTCGGCTGTTTTGTTATTATTACAGGAGCGAATATGAAGTTATTAATAATTTCCCTGTTGTTTGGGATATGTTGGGGTAGAAAGTTGCATATCCGAGCGCCAGGATATACATACGAGTGCACCCACTGCCAACCGGAACAGATACATATTGCATTTGGAGGTAAGTCAAGTTTAATCACCATCTACGGCATGTACCTATCCAATCATTATAAACATTATACCATTAAAAAAATAGTTTACTTAGTCTAATTCTTGTAACAAGACAAAGTTACATATTATTTTGTCCCGTTAGAAATAATTAAAGTAAGTAAATAAACATGTATATTAATTTGTCTTGTTACAGTCCCTAACTTTGAAAGTAATAAATTTTAGTAGAAACTGTAGGTAATTAAAGGAAATTGGTGCTTTGTGCCACAATGAAGGCTAGTCTAGCTCCTCTTTCTCCTTCTTATATTAAATATAAAACTGTTTAGCCTCATTTTAAGTTTATACTGTACCTATTATCTTGTGAAAGAAACTATTATTTATTATAGATTTCATTTGATCCAATACAATTTTTACCAGATGTACAATTTAATGAATACAGATTTGTATCTGTTAAAGAACTTTAGAATGGACAGGAAGCCAATAAAATGGTGGGATATTTCTTAAATAATTTAAATTTTTTTTACAGAATTACTTGAATATTTGTGTGATTTGATTAATTTACATAAAAAAATATTGTTTTTGAGAACTAAAGAAATGAAACTTCCATTGTGTGAGAATAATTTTTATACAATACTAGCTTTTGTCTGCGACTTTGTTCGCCTAAAATAGTGACTTCCTGCAGATTTTTGTTTAAAAACTATCCTATATCCTTCCTCGAGTTCCAAACTATGTCTGTGGCGTGAAGAAAAGACAGACAGACAGACTGACAGAGTTACTTTTACAATTATAATATTTGTTTGGATTTTAAAAATCTCACTGGAATTTTCTAAATAGTAACAATAAATTACACAAATAATAATCTTAATTTTGAGTTAATTCTGAGATAGTAACAATCAATATGCTAACATGAAAGTATCTAGCTTAATAATTAGTCAGTTGGAGACAAAAGATGCTCACACCCCCAATTTTATTTCTGATAACACCAATAAATATTAGTAGAACAAGCACTGCCTTGTAATACATTTTTAAAAAGTGCGTTATAATCAAATATGTATGTGTGCCCATTAATAAACAATAGGACAGATGTATTTACAAATTTGAACTCTGTGTAATTGGAATAAACTCTAAAATTGTGTAAAACAGTAACTTGTTTTTGTTTTAAATTAAAATAACACGATAAAGTGATTCTTAATGTTTCATAAAATAGGTCTGTACATGTGATATGTGTTTATCATTAAATAATTGATAACAATTTGATAAAATTGCTTTGATAGTTATAAATGTTCATTTCGTTGTTGATGTTGATTAACTGAACTACACTGGTTTTTGATCATTTAATTGATTTAGTAACCATAATTTTAGTATTGAGACTTTATTCTTATGTACATTAATTTTATAAATATGTAATCACATTCAATAGAGAATTTTATAAGGTGAAACTTTAATAGGAAAAACTTAACATTTAACTACAAGGAAAAAATGTATCAGTCATTATGCAACTCATTGTGGTTACATATGACAAACAACTTCGTATTTGGTCAAGCACTATACTTCAACACAGAGTCCATTGTTATTTTATTAGATAGATGGACTGATTGTCTACCTTATTTAGCACTTGCTTCCGCGCGCGATTTCACCCGCGTTAAATGTTGATAAAAAGCATCCTTGTTGCGTTGTTGTCATTATCTATCTATGTACATTCCAACCATTTTTGCGTGAAAGAATACCTAACAAACATGTGCATTTTAAGTATACATTCTCACAGACTTTCAAATTTATAATAACAGTAGGAAGTAGGATTCCCTTGACCCCATCATCAGCTCTTCCATTATTTCGCCGCCTGCGCCACACATTCCAAAAGCTATTTTACTAAACTTAATCATGTAGTAATGTTAGTATATCACTAAACTTGGACAGTTTTATAACTGCATATATTCCTAGTGAGATAAAAATGAATCGGTTTCATATAACTATGTTATGGAATATACCTGATTATATCCCTAGGGATAAGGAGAGCCGTAATATAGTTAATATTACGGCTTTACTATCTTACTGCGACATGTATGTATATCCAATCCCAACACACTAATTTTGCAAATATTCTCTTCAACTGGCTCAAGAAGACCCCTTAAAGGTAGTTCAGCTGCAAAAGAGTCCTTTGTAACGATTGATGCTTGAAATCAGTCAGTCTTTACAAAACTATCAATTATAATCTTTCAGAAAAACCTAACGACATCGTCGTAACATGGTCGACGTTCAACGACACGCAGGAGTCGCGCGTCCAGTACGGGGCGGGTATTATGGACAAGGAGGCGACTGGCTCCAGCAAACTGTTCATAGATGGAGGCAAGCTCAGGCGGAGCCAGTACATACACACCGTCACCTTGAAGAACCTCGAGTTTAACACGAGATATGGTAAGCAAAGCCTTGAGTTGAGTTCTTATTTGCACTACTATTAAGGTAGTGTATTTAAATACATATATGTTTATAACCCACAGTAAACTTTAGTACTAATACCCTGTAGTACTTAGACCATCTGCGGACGGCGCGTAAGGGTAGCGCGCGACCGAACAGAACCAGACCCGAGCGTACGGCGCGTAGCGTTCAACGTGCGCCTCCTAGAGCCAATAGACCACCACAGACGGAGCCCTATAGGGCTGAGGTTTAGCCGGGGTTGTGGGGCAAGCGTATTAACACATTCAGTGCCCCCGACGCGTATGTGCGTGCGAGGAAACGCACATACGCGTCGGGGGCACTGAATGTGTTAAGGCACCGCGGCCTTGGTTTAGAGCAGGAGAAGGAATGGATGGTTTTTGATCAGTAAGAGTCGGACACAGGCCCGCCGTAAGCGGGCGTGAAAGGCGTGCAATGCACGCGGGCGGCGCATCCAGGGGGGCGGCAACTCAAGCAATCCACGACCAAAATTCAGATATTGTCACATCACAATACTAGGTACTACTAGGTTTTCTGTGAGGCCGTGGTATAATTCTGGTCGAGCCGACCCATTCGTGCCGAAGCATGGCTTTCCCACTCTTACATACACCTGCAGTTACGCTCTTCCCGTTTGTTAAGAAGAATAATGAATTACCCCTGCTTTAGACTACCAAACACCGACCATCTCTTTTCTAAAGGTAAGTTTTGGAGTATTGTATGAATGCTGAATCCGTAAGCGCTGGTCTGCGGGCGGCGAGCAAGGGTAGCTCGCCGCCCGACAAGAACCAGACCCGAGCGTACGCCCGAGATCATCTCTCGATCCCCGACGCCCGGAATGTCGCCTACTGCGGCGGCGGCTACTAAGTGTTGCGCGCGCGCGCCTCAAAGAGCCAATAGACCACCGCAGATGGGGCCCTATAGGGCTGATGTTCAGCCGGGGTTGCGTATTAAGCGCAATGAGTCACCGCGGCCTCGGCCCAGAGCAGGAGAAAGAACGGGGGTTTTTAGTCAGTAAGAGTCTGACACTCTCTCTCGCCTTACCCTGGGCGGAAGAAGAAATGAATAGTTTTTCGTTGTAAAATATTTCTTATTTTTTTCACATCCTTAACTTAGTATTTTTAACCTAGATCGTGTAAGGTAGACACAGTTAAACGGGGGCGGCATAATGGGAATTGCACACGGGCGTTCAAACCCCTAGCGGCGGGCTTGGTCGGACACTTCCTCTCGCCTCACCTTGGGCGGGAGAAGTCATTAGATGATTGTCTCCTGACAAAAAACCCTATAGTAGACCATGTAACCATCTACGTGTTTCAAAATACGAGGGTCTTTTTTCGAAACATTTCTGAAGACTTATTTAAGTCTGCCTACCGTGGATCAGACTGATTTTGTAGGCAGGTTTATTCTAGCTGGGAAGTTTAATGTTTCGGAATCTAATTATGATAAAAGTATTTTGCGTATAAATGTTTCACTACTAATCATGGCATTGTAGTGTATTATTATGACACTATCTACAGGATGTCCATCCGTCCATCGGGCATTATCGAATTTTCACGTTTCGTGTTCCACTGTCAACAACAAATGATATACCTACCTACGTTAACAGCTAACTCAAAAAGTGGATTACTTATAATCTATCTCTCTGTCAGTTGCATCGTAGTCCCAAAATGCATGAACTGATGCGGCATTACGTGAAATTTAATGTATGCTTCTTAGCTAAATTTGGCAAAAATTGATTAAGAATATCCACCTATCTAAATTGTTTATAGTATATATTATTTTTTTACTAATGTAAAATACAACATGAAAACCTAAACTAAAAGTACCAATTCAACTGAAATTACACAATCATGTCCCTCGTCATATTAATTTCGTACAACTGTCTGTTTCGACCAACAGTTAAATAAATAAGTATCTACTGATTGTTTCTGCCTGTTGTTGTGCAGTGTACCACGCCGGCTCGGTGTACGGGTGGTCAGAGGAGTTCTGGTTCCACACGCCGCCTGCAGGCGAGGACTGGCCCGTGCGCGCTGCCATCTACGGGGACATGGGCAACAAGAATGCACATGTAATATATTTTTATTTATTATAGGTCGACTTATGTCTACACCCGTAACGATAATATGTTACTCATTTGTGTGTACAACAATTTTTACATTATTATGCATTAGGTACTTTATTACATCGAGCAACTTGATCAATCGCAAGTTGCTTCGCCCACGTTTTTCGGATCAAAAGCAGGCTATATGTTATTGAAGCCAGATTATATAATCTATCTGCGCCAATTTACATAGTCAACAAAATCCATTCAGTCGTTTTTACGTGAAATAGTAAATACATCGATATATCCTACAAAAAGTTTTCTCTTTGATAATATTTCTAGAATTTCTATTATTCCGAATTTTCCTCAATTATTTGAAACTGCAATAATTTGAAATATTATCACACAATAAATACCATACTTTGTATGAACATAGCAGTGGGTATAGATTACATTCTTTACAAAATTCTTATTAATGGAATGTATTTTTATTATCTGCATAATTTAACGCATTACCAAACAAGGAAACTCGGTTTTAAACCCCTATATTTGGGCACTAACATTAAAAATAATTCCTTTTACTTACACCTATGTATTAAATCCTTACCTTGCCTTACGTCAACTACATAATTGATTCCAGTCTCTATCCTACCTTCAAGACGAGGCACAGCGCGACCATTTCGATGTGATCCTCCATGTGGGAGACTTTGCATATGACATGGACACCAACGACGCATTGGTAGGGGACGAGTTCATGCGACAGATACAGCCTCTGGCCGCCATCGTGCCGTACATGACATGCCCTGGAAACCATGAACAGGCATAGTAAGTAACACTAGAGTAGGGTTGAGGGTCAAGCGAAATAAGGCATCGCGGCCTCGGCCTGGAGCTCAAGTAACGGGGGGTTTTATTCAGTAAGAGTCTTACGGTCCCTCTCGTCTCACCCAGGACGTGAGAAACCATTTGATAATTTTCCCCCGGTATAAAGAAGTTGCTATAAGTTATCGTGGCCCGCCGAGAAACTAGAATTGGAATGGATATGATTTGCGTATAATACGGTTCAAATTTCCAAACACAACACTTGATTAAGACATAGTTGTTACACTTGGATGAAGAGACAAAAGTTGAAAACTTTTATTATTGAAATGCGTATATTTAATTCACGGTAGAAATAAACGATGTTCGTGTCTCCAAGGTTCCAACGACCAATGCTGTCTTTAACATAGCAATCCATTTAAAATCTCATTAATGAAATCTGCAGCAACTTCAGTAACTACGCGGCTCGATTCAAGATGCCCGGCCGCGACTCGAGTCTGTTCTACAGCTTCGACCTTGGTCCCGTGCACTTTGTGTCTATCTCCACTGAAGTGTACTACTTCACACGGTACGGACTGAAGCTCATCGTCAACCAGTACAACTGGCTGAAAGAGGATCTTGCCAAGGCCAATCTGCCGGAGAACAGGTGACAATATGTTATATTGAAAGTTATCTTATTATACTTAAGTCCTTTGACTAGTTTTAAATAAAAATTCAAGGCTTGTTGGTTTTTCGTATTTATGACTAACTCGTCCATATTATATACAAATAGTTTAAACTCGGGCAGGAAAAATGTTCATCTGTGACATTTGACAGTTCTAAACGTCAACATGACAAATATCAGCTACAAACATATTTATTTTTATTTTAGACTAAAATTTTAGTCTCCATACTTTAAATTATTGTTTGTAATGCAATTTATAAACGTAAACATTATTGTGTGCTATATACATATATTATTAAACTATTATTGAACTGATGAGGAATTATTCTCGTAAGCGTTATGGATCATATCTTTTAATTTGTAAAACGAAATAATTGAATAAATATCAAACACAGATTATCTTAGTCATGTTCACCGACACTGGCAGTATGACAATCCTGGAAGAGCCATGCTTCGGCACGAATTGAATCGACCGGAGTGATACCACGTCTTCACACAAAACAGTCGTGAAAAGTGTGAGTAAGGCATTCGGAGCCCCAACCCTTCCCCTCACCCCAAATCCTTCCTCAATCCTTAAATCTCCGAAACTCTAATCCCTAAAAGGCCGGCACCGCACTCATAACTCCACTGGTGTTGTGAGAGTTCATGGGCAGCGATTGCTTACCATCAGGTAATCTGTATGCTCGTTTGCCGACCTATCCTATAAAAATGGTTTTTATAAGAATAATACATTGTAAACAGGAAAAGAAGACCTTGGTTCGTAGTAATGGGTCACAGGCCGATGTACTGTAAGCACGGCGAGGAGTGTCGGCTCCACCTGCCCAACCGCGACAGCAAGCTGGGTGAGTGACACCCGCGTCACTAGCTAGTGCCCCCTGTTGCAGACGGCGCCGGCCCTGGCTGGTGGTGATGGGGCACCGGCCCATGTACTGCAGCGACTCCAACGACATCGACTGCAGCTGCGAGTACACGCGGACCGGACTGCTCGGCGTCTACGGTGAGGGACCGGGCTCATACTCTGCTTGTCTGAGCACCTACATACTAACCTGCTTCAATATACACGAATCTGTGTATTTGCACACGTGTCTGCTTGTGCATGATTTACATTTATGATTACAGCAGTTGGCAGTGTCACTGAATGAATGATTTTGTAATATTTTTATACGATTTTCAATCTATTGCTACTTTATTTTTTTATTTTAATATCAATTCATTTATTCACTAATCTTCATTAAAACTAACCCATTAATTAAAGTCGTAAAAAAATCGTTATAACTCATAATTATTTGTATTTATATTCTGTATGCTACACTAATTTTGATGTACTCATACTATTCCGTCTCCTGCATCTTCATTAACTAACAAGGAGCAGTTTCACAGCTCCATGATTATTTTTAATGGCAAACTAATTTTTTATTGCCAAAGTCGAAAATACATTAATACATTCTACCAAAAGTATTCATTTTAAAATTAATCTGGTTTTTGTAAAACTGGATTTTAATGACCTAGACTTACACTTTCTTCAACGAGGTATCTATACTTAACATCGCAGGTCTGGAACCTCTCCTGATGGAGTTCGGAGTAGACCTCGTGATCTGGGCTCACGAGCACTCGTACGAGAGGACCTGGCCGCTCTACGACAACAAGGTCTACAACGGATCCTACGACAAGCCCTACGTTAACCCTGGGTAAGTAGCACACATAATTTGGAATTAAACATGATGAAATATAAAATTTGATACTGGCGACCGATCACTGCACCAAGAAAACTTACTTATTATATAGTTTTAAACAAAGTCGCTTTCTCTGTCCCTATATCCTTATGTATGCTTAAATCTTAAAAACTACGCAACGGATTTTTACAAATAACGTGATTGAAGAGGAATGTTTGTATGTATAATAACATCCATTAAATAGTGGAGTTATCATGGCACCGTGGTGGCTCGCTAGTAATATATAAAATCAACTTAAGTAACCTTCTCCTTATTTAGAAGTTATTTAGAAAACCAAACAACTGATTACTGTCGTGCCATAACAGGGTCGCTATCGCTAATGCGTAGATTTCAAAAATGTTTTCAAAAATCTGGCCTCAATAATCCTCCTTAAAAAAAGAAGTCATTATTTTATGTACCTAAGTTTTATATTTTTTAATTCCCATAATATCAGGTTCTTACGTTTACACATAATCGAACTGCCGTAATATATGGTTTGGCGAGGTGTGTTATTAATTTTATTCACATGATGAAATTACACATATTTTTGATATAAATTGGAAAGTTTTTTTTTTATTGGGGATTTGCGGTTTTTTTATCCTCTCAAAGCATATATGGTATATATGTTATTGTTAACTAAATTTTTAACAGGAACATAAACTTAATATTTTGAATGTACTAAGTATGCAAGTGTACATAAGACCTATCGTATAATATTATAGTTTTCGGCGTGTGTATTACATAACGCTATGTATATATCTATGTACTTTGGAATTAATACAACTAACTATTTGACCGAGTGCCGTGTGAAAATTATACCTATCTACATAATTATGTTTATATCAAAATTGTGAAGGTAAATACCCGCTTTATATATTAACCAACATATTTATACACTAACGCATATTTATTTACAAATTCTGCGATTTCTTCGCATATGCTAATTGTTATTAACAGAATGTTAACTTGCTTGTGGCTTTATAACTAACTCATTATTATTTCATTATAAGTTTAAAGAATTTGGTGAATTTACATATTTGGTGCTATATTTGAAAGGATTCTGTATGACCCATGATGGTGAACTTGTTTGGTTGACAATTTTCTTACTTCCGTATATGTCTTTGTTACCAGGGCTCCAGTACACATTATAACCGGTTCGGCTGGATGTCAAGAAGCTACTGATCCCTTCAGACGTAAGTACACATATGCATATTCTAAAACAACACGTTTATTTCATAACTCCTGTTTACATTAAGTTTGCCGGCCCTAAGTGTAGTTGTGTCACACCGAATATTCAACCACGAGTATATCACTGGTTGAGAACAAGCACATTAGTAGCAAGTTATGACGTTTCGTTGACTGCAAAGTATAAGATATTTCACCACGCCCTCACTTCCCACGGGTACCGATAAAGTTGTCTAAGGGATTACATCCATATAGTTACACTAGGGCTTGGAACCGATTTAAAAACAGTGGTTTATTTCGCTTAAACACTGGTAAACATAGTAAGTGTTACCCGGATACCGGGCATCAGTGTTTTTTGATGAACCTGATCCGCATCTCCAACCTGCCTGCCAAGCGGAGAGGTTATCGTAAATCCCTCTTTTGTAAAGGAGATTTTTACAGCAATGAAATATCACAGGCTGTTGGAAAAGGAAGAATAGAGTATAATATAATATGTCGGGACGTTGGTTGCAGCGGACCCGGCGCCCTGGTCGGCCTTCAGAAGCAGTGACTACGGGTACACCAGGTTCGTGGCGCACAACAAGACCCACATCTATATGGAACAGGTCAGTTAACTTAATATGTCTGCTATTCATAAAAAAATGTTTCATTTATCGCCACCATAGTTTTTAACATTAATTTATGAAGAAGGATGAGAATTTCTGGACACCAGGATTGCACACTTTATTTTGCAGCTATTTGCGTTGGAAATGTTCATGGTGAATGAACATGAACATTTTGAATTGTTCATTACAACCTAAATATAATATTTGAGAAACTATATGTTTCTATATATAAATTATGAGATGATGTTTGAGAATATGAATTTTATGTCTTGGGTTTCAAAGTCGAATATCGAATACAATTGGACAGATTTAAGAATATTAATTTACTGTCCCTTGTCATTTTACAATCTTTTATTATTCAATCAATCAATCAATCAAATTTATTTATTTACGTTTGTACATAAATATCTTATACTAGGTCTTACATTTTAATTAATCTAGGCAAATAACATTACGGTGCCTGTATAGAATTGAATCTGTACCACAGGCGTTACGGTCACTTTCAGTTACTGTTATGCTATGATTCATCCTTAACAATATTTATTTTTATCCAGATAACTAACTCATAATTTATACATAATTATACATTTCATTTATAAATAATTTAGGAATTCATTAAAACTTACCTATTACTACATTACTACCCAATTAAACCTATGTCTATTTGACCACAGTCAGCAACGCCTCGGTTTCGTCTACAAGTTGGCACTAATATAAAATTATGTTTTTAGGTGGACGTGGATCTGAAGGGCAAAGTAATTGATTCATTCTGGCTCGTCAAGAATCAGCACAAAAAATTCAACATCAAACATAAAAATAAAGAAGCACAACAACTCTAGTTTTATATAGTTATAGTAACTATTGTTTGTTCATTGGTGATACAAATGAGGCTAGAACATATTTACAGACAAGAATGAGCATTCCATTACACCATTCAAGGAATTTCTTGTTCTCGAAATCTCGACTGTGATTTGTTCGACAAGTATTAGTAATCTCAATTTTTAGGAACTTTAGTATTTAAATTAATGTGATATCAGTTTTATATAAATTTTAGTATATTTTCAAAAATGATACATCTTCGTTTATGTACATTATGTATTATATAAGTTTGCACGGGTTCTACTACATCAATCAAGTCAATGCCACTTACATACTAGTATTTTCTCCTGTGTCGTGGATGCGGTTACAAACAAACAATTTCACATACACATGACACCTAACCTGTAACAACAATTTGTTGAGATTTTCCGCTACAAGTTGCACCAACCGTGCAGTCATGCAATTTTATAACTTAAGAATGGCCCCACCTATACTCAATGTTTAGCCTTTTTCGGATTATTTACTTAGTAGATTGTTTATTTGGGTACGCACAAAATCGATCGAAGCGAAGTAGGTACGCACCGGGACCGGTACTATATGAGTATATGAATATGAATCCCGATTTCCCTAGGTCATGGATCAGGACAGACCGATAGCGATAAATCTTTTTAAACTGAGTTTTTAACTAGCTGCTTTCGCGCGGTTTCACCCGCTTCTCGGCTCCTACGTATCTTAGCGTGATGTTTTATAGCCTTCCTCGATAAATGGACTAACAAAAACAAAAATAATACGGTAGTTTCCAACTAGTCAAATTCAATACTTTTATCCAAACGTCAAAAACTATACTTTTCTATGTATAAAAAACTGAGTTACGACGTCATAGTTTGTTTTTGATGATGAGATTGTTGCGTCAACTGGCTTACTTATTTCTTGATAATTAGCTACAAAATATCTAAAACTTAGTGTATCGATCGATCGATGAATAAAAGTAATTTTTCAATATTTTATTGTATTGAAACGTCGAATTAATTTATTTTTGTCATAGGAAACTACCAAATTGTTCTAAAAAAAGTAATCCCGGATTTAGAAAAAAATACTACAATTTTAAAATACAACGTTATATAATATTAGTATAGATAAAACAAATAACTGACATAATTGGATACTCGTGCAAACCAGTGCCTGCAAATAAATGACGCTTTATGTAAAACTACAATTTGTTTTAATAGTTTAGGAATTAAGACGTTGTCGAGATAATATACTTAGACATGTTGTAGAATGCTCAGCTAGCCTTCACAGATTTGTATTAATTTTATTATCAAGATATCATTTTGTAAAATTATTTTTACCACAATGACATATCTAATTATGACAATTTTAATGATTAATAAATATTTACCCTATAATTATTGTGTTTCATTTTATCTGGATTATAATGCCACAAGACAGACTGCTCAACATAGAACTACCTAGTTAGTATGAAGTAGTTGGAAGCGCCGTTGCAAAGACATCAGGCGATGTATATATATATATAGATATAGCTACATCTAGTAATGTTAGACAATTGACCAAAGCCCTGCGTCTACTGCTCTCATGAAGTCGCAAAAGTAGCACATTCTCAAATATACCAATGTTGAAAAATAAATTATCATAATTTGATAAAACTATTAAGGTTACTACTTTCGTGAATTAACCGAGAATAGCTCTACTAGTTTAAATCACAACAGAACTCACAATTTATGAGCAATGTGTGCGTCGCAGCGACTGCGCGGCGAAAGTTGGACCGACATGGCTTATTGTGGTCTTGGATATAGGTACAGGGAATATTTAAAAGGTCAGCGGTACGAAGTTTGCTGGGTGAGCCAGTTTTAAATAAATGGTCACAATGTCACAAAATAGTTTGTTGAATGATGAGCAATACTTGTCTCCACACCAGTTCAAACAGGAAAAATAAAGACAGACAAAAATACTTTCATACTATATATGATTGGAAAAATATTACAGTCATTCTTGCTTTTATTATATTGGCATGTACTTATGTATCTAAGTATGAAGCTATACTTTCAGGGCTCCCGTCCACATCATCACTGGCTCGGCTGGCTGCCAGGAAGGCAGGGATCACTTCCTGAGTAAGTGACCAAACGATTGAAGTCTAGCAACGATATGTTGTGTTGCCAACAATTACACATATTAAGTAGAATGTTGGTAACACAGCTATGAAATTAAGTATATAAAAACAGATGCAATGCCTTATTTGGAGGCAGGGAAATGTTAAATCGTTATGGTTTCCATGTGCAGATGATGAGCCTAAATGGTCGGCGTTCAGATCCCAGGACTTCGGTTTCACCAAGTTCAAGGCTTTCAACGGTACACACATCTACATGGAGCAGGTTAGCTGCCTTTAAATTATTATGTATTATTGTCTGTGTGTGTTGTCTGAGAGTTCCTGAGTGTGTGTAAAATGCCAAGATAAGGTAAAGTAATATAGATTTTTTTATTCATTATTTCATTGGTACAGATATAAATTTTATTTTATCGACAAGATCTAAAAGGTAATTTCTGATGTTTCAGGTGTCGGTAGATCTCCACGGGCAAGTAATCGACTCCATGTGGCTGGTGAAGAACAAAACGGTGCCTTTTAGCAGCATTTAATGTGTACATAGTTTTCAAAGTGATATAATTCCTCATACAAACAATGAACATATTTTGTATTGTGTATTTTGGAGGGGGGCGAGTGTGCGCATTTTGCTATTTTGTTATCTAATTTTCGACTGTACGGTTAACGCAGAGGTTTAATAATACTTATACCCAAGAACATAACATAATATAGTTCAGATGCATGAAAAATATCTCACTTGTGTGGAAAAATTGTTGAACCAAACATGCTTGCTTTGGGGTATTGAGTTTATTCTTTTACAACTAGTAAAAATAAAAGTTGAACAATGTTTAAACTAAATGAATATACGTAAGTACTTACAAGTAAATTAGTAAAATAACACATGACAAATATCCCACCAACACTCACTTATATGTATGTAGAGATATGATGAACATGATTCTTATATACATTATGTTTATCTAATTATATGTATATGTCACAGCCAACTAATTTACTAAGCCATTCAATTATAGGCATTGTAATAGTTGAGTTAATGATATATCACAGTAGTTAGGTCGCTCTGATGGTAATTTGGTTCTAATAACAAAATCTCTTCAGCTAATGACCTGAATGAGAAATTCTGTTCCTAAATCAAACGGCTGATCTCTCAGGCCGTTCTGGCTGCTTTGCAGCGTGTCGCAGTTTCGATTCCTGCACAGGACAACTCTTTTGAGTGTTCAATACATTGTTATTCCAGGTGTGTGTGATGTCTGAAATCGTATGTCTGTTAACGCACGACACACCCACGACTCTGGAGAAAATCTTACACCCGGTTTCTGAAAGGCTTGTCAACGCTAAAATTAACTAATCTCCTGTTAAATCTCTTGTCAAGTCATCTGATTGGTTGTTGATAATCCGGTCAACCAATCAGATGACTTGACAAGAAATTAAATTGATTTTAACATTGATCGGCCTTTCGGAAAGGGGGTTTAGTGTAACAGCGTTTTATTAAAACGATGTTGGCTACGACCTATATCATAATTATTTAGTTCCACTTTTAGTCTTTACCTATGAAATCGCCGTTTTGCATTAAATAATAGAATTAAATTGCCGTATTTTTTTTTTATTTGTATTAATTACACATGCAATCCAAGTATTTTTGCTTAGCCAACGTATTGGTAGCCAGATATATCGGCAAAAGTACTATTGTGATTTGAAATTACCAGAATGGCAACTTTATAGGAAACGACCTAATACATACCTCACTATTGTATCTACACTAGCTGCCTATTGTAGGTAATCTATACACATATATAAAAGAAAGTCGTTTTAGTTACTCCAAGAACGGCTCAACCGATTTAGCTGAAAATTGGCAGGGAGGTAGTTCAGGTTTAGAGGATAGAGTAGGTAGTGTAGGTTAGGTAGAGTAGAGTAGGGTAGGTAATCAAATGACGGGAGCGACGCTGCGGGTAAGAGCTAGTATTATATTAATTTTATTGTTTATTTTTCACTGTTACGGTACATAGTACCTACCTACCTTAGAACTTACAAGTAAAATACACCTCTAGCCTTCTTTAGGCATTCCTTTAGGCAACTTAGGCTAAGATCTAAGCTATAAGGAAATTAGTGACTTGATGAAATTTAAATAAAGGTTGTTTTTGATTATTGTTTTGTTTTATTTACTCATCCGTTACTTTCCATTCCAATGCAAGTTGTATACCTCATGTACACACAGAGTAGATACCTATCTAGGCTACCTACAATTAAAAGCTACAAGGTCCGATGGTTATATACGGCACACATTCGGTTGAATAAATAAAAATTGATCTCTAATATAATGTACGCACGCCTCTATCGCTATGTGCGTAAAAAATAACGGTCGGCGATTATAATTATTAATGAATGATCGGCATAATCGATTTATTTGTATTAGATAGTAATGTTGATAATCGATTACGCAATTATATAACTAATATATTTCCATAATCAAATGGTGTTACTAATTAATGTTACTAATCGTGCTTTATAAATCTGTACGAGTTGTTGCTCCGTGACTTAGTATTATAGAAATTGGTTTAGTATATAATTTAGTTTATTTTGATTTATTGCGGCGGTATGAGACGTGAACGTGACGTTTAAATTTTAGTGGATTTATATAGCGGTAGGTTTACTGTTTTTTATTATTTATATAAATGATTAATATTTAACAATACATAAGAAACAAAAAGTAAACCTTAATCTCGTTTGTGAATTATGAATTAATGGTCAATTTGTGATAAATATGTTTATAATCTTAACAAATATTTAGACAATCTAAGTATTAATCATTCGATATAAGTACTTACTCCTTTATTTCTACATTAACGGTGCCTTTGCTTGACTACCAACCAACTTTTGTTTCTTATCCTTCTTTTTAAAAACATTGCCCAACATTAGGAATTTCTTTTGTGTCGTGGGTTTTTTTGTGAGAGGAAAATCATCAAATGACTTCACAGAAGGAGGAGACGGCGTCCCAGTTCCTATCACTTGTGTCGTGGGTGCGTTTACAAACAACAATTTGTGGATCACATACAGTGTTGATCTGTGCGTAAATGGACCCAACACAGTAGACAATCCTAATGTGTAGCAATGTTTTTACCTTATTAGTTTTATGACTGTGAATTGTTATTTTCTTAGGTTCCTTGCAGTGTTGCAGAGAGAGTAGTCGTGCTGCTGGAAGTATTCCATATTACTTGAGAATGCTGCATTTATTAGGTAAGATCAACTGTAGACACCCACCTGCTTTTCCTTTGCTAACAATTGCCTACCCGTACCCGCTAAAGTAGTTTTTGCTGATTTTCTAAACATTTTAAATTTTAAATGTACCTATGCCTAAATCCATCTCATCACTGAGGCAAGCTGATATTCTGTTGTATCTACTTGGCAGGTTCCTAAAAGTGATTTTATTCTTTAGTAAATTAGTCGACTTCCCAGTGTAGCTCTTAGGAACGAGATTAAGCCGTGAAACAAAATAAAACCGAAGGTAGATGTACTTTCTAGAATATTATCCTAAATTCGTTGCTACACAGCGTCCCGGATGAGATAGTTTAAGTATTGCCAGGTTTTTGCGGACGACCTGGTTCTCCTTTTTTGGTACCATAGAGTACCTACTTTGGAGCAGTCAGTAAACGGTAGGTAGGTACCTTGGAAACAGTTGGAGCAAAGGGTATTAGTTCCAAGCTTACGTTCAGAGCAAGCAAAACCAATGCTATGCTGCTGACAAGACAGCTTCTTGTTGAACCGAAGACCTATTTATGGCAGTGGGCACCAAGATACCTAATCTCGTGAATGATAAAGCCTCACCATAGACAGAAAACTAAAAGATGACCAGTTCGTTGCGGGCTTCATCGCGTCAAAAAATTGCTTCAGGCCATCACCAATTCAATCCTGGTGCAGGCCTTGTTGTTTTCCATAATATTTATATGTTTTCCATAGTATTATTATGACTTTAATGCAAATCTCCTCCATAAAGTTGATCAACTTGTGAATAACTGCATTCGTTTCGTCTTCAACCTGTAAATATGAACATTTTTCTGCCCATCCGTTGCAATTAAAGTGGTTACGTATGTGCCAGCGTAGGGAGCAAAGGGCGCTAACCACTCTGTTCTCCTTTCTGATTCACCTTCTTCGCGAACCTGTCTATCCTCTAATTTTCAGTACCAACCTACTTATACATGCGCAAACCACAGCAAATATCTTCGTTTTTCTAATAACGGTTTCCTCCAATGTCCAACTTACTGAATTTCTTCATTCTTCTTTTTTTGTTCAATCTATTATTATGAGGAATGCGAATTTAAGATACCTACCTACCCAATGATGTATAAAACTATAGATACGTTGTCCGCGCTCTAAAATGACAACATGAAATGAAGGCAATTGACCACATCGCGCTTAGTTACGCACCAACCTGCCGCTCGACGCTACGTTTGTTTTTAATCTATATCGTGTGTAAACCTGTGCGAAACATAAAGAAAGCATGTCGTCGTGTGTGTTCAGACGATGTACAAATTATACTCCAAAAGTTAAAGACAAAAATGTGTCATTTCATGCGTAAGTTCACCAAACAACCTATTTTTATTTTACTTTTTTCGACGCCGGCGCCCGCCATCTTATGGCGGCCGGCGCATGAAGGTATAGTCACGTGACGTCGGCATAACTGAAGATGTATATTTATCTCCCTCTAGCAAAGGCATTCCACTATACGATGTCATATTTTCTTTCCCTTTCTTTACTCGTAGAAGTAGTTATCTAGTATTTTCGCCGTTTTTAAGCGCCGCGATGTTGGTTCATGACGTGTCTATATATAATACGTCATTGTACCTACCTAATTTCTTTATCCTTAAATTTTAAAATTGTAATTCTCATCCCCAAAAGGAGTCCAAACTCAACCTGTAGGTATTTCGACGAAATTAAGTACCTAATCAAATGAAAAGGGAAAGAGATACTTAAAAACAAAACTGGATTATTGTTATATGTAGATATACCTATAAGTATCATGTTCTAGCAGATAATCGTACTTTTCATTTTATTGTTTCAACAGTATCACTGGTGGTGGTTATGGGACGCAGCGTGGAGTCCGAGCCGCTGTGTCCGTCTCCCAGCTTCGATACCCAGCTGCAACAAATCTTGCAACACCAAATGATGTCTCCGCGACAGCACGCCGACTTGTTGGCTCGATTGGACCGCGACATCCGGGCCACTCTCGACCGCCAGTGGCGAGGAGGTCAGTGCTATCCGCAAACACCCTCACCTTAACGCTCAGTATCAACTGAGTGACATGAAACAATGCAACCTGTGCCGGATTTAAGCATAGGCTACATACGACTGTTGCCTATGCAGGGCCACTAGGTGCAGATTTCGAGAATTCCGGGAATCGAAACACGACAAGTCTCCCAGACACATAATGTTTGACATTAGACGGCTTTTATTTTAAATGCGCAAAATAAAAATAGCACCCTCAGGGATGGCGTAGAGTAGAGACCAGACAGATGCGGCTCACTAGGGCCAATGTCCAGTCCAGTTTTTCTTTTGTTTGTAGGAGAAAGTTATCAAACGACTTTTATCGCTCCTGGCCATCGATCACTAATAAAGAACTATTAGTGATCGATGCTCCTGGCCGAGAAGACCAAAAACCGTCTCGTTCATTCTCCTGCTTGATTTCTGATGCCGTTAAGAACAGAATGGAATGAAGTAGTTTTAATCTTAGTAATAAGGGGTATGCAACATGATTTGATGATATTCCCAACTCAACAAACAAAAATTAGAAATATAAAATAGCATTCATTACCTACAACTGACGATGTCTTCAGTCCAGCTAGTCCCTGGTCGTAACTTATTAATTATTTTCTAGGGCATTTAAAATAAGAGATTAGTATTTTTTTTTATTTTAGTTACTTTCATACGATTGGATTAAGAGTGAAGTCTTACAACTAACCAATTTATGTTGACACCTCAAGCTCCGTTTTGAGCCTCGGGCGCTGGATGTAACTACTTAAGAGGTTGATTTTCATTAATATACTCACCGTTGTCTGCAGATTATACGCTCCACAATTTTGGATCTCTGGCTAATGGTCTCGCGACGCAACATAGTGATGCCGACATATACGTACAGTTACGCAACTTTAATGTTTCCGTGGAGTTACAAGTGTTAGAAGAAATAGAAACCTTATTTACGGAACAGCCAGCATTGTATTCCAACGTTACGTCCAGAATTCTTCGATTATTTTCAATAGTCCAAGTTTATCACAAGACCCTAGAGCTGAAGGTGGACCTCGTATTTAGAGGCGGTTTCAAATCAGTTCGGAACACCAACATGAGCAGATATTACATGGAATTAGACGAAAGATTCCGCACATTAATGAGCATTGCCAAAGTGTGGATGTTCAACCGTGTCCCTGCTCCTGAGGGCTCACACCCATTTCCAAGCTATAGTGTATACCTATTAGTTATATTTTACTTAGAACAAAAGAAAATGGTGCCCTCCGGTTACGAGTTGCAGAAAAACTCTAAGAGTTATTTTGTGGAAGGGTGGAACATGGGCTACAACAAGCTGCAGTACAATACGACGAATACGGAGGACGTATACCAGCTGCTTGCAGGGTTCTTCGACTACTACAACCAATTCCCCTTTGATGAATACATCGTATCACCTTTTGCGGGCCATCCTATTAGGAGGAACGCTTTTGCGGATCCAAACAAATATCCAGATGAATTTTCTTATGAATATATACGTAACAACGAAACTTTGATAGACAAATTGCGGCTTAGGCTTAAATATAATTTTAAAGTTGATGCACCATTGTGCATTCAAGACATTTTTTATCACGACAATAATGTTGTAGAGGCCATCAGTTCCGAATACATGGCGCGATTTGTAAGAGCAATAAATGAAACCGCAGAAATGTTTAAAAAAATGTCTAGAGACAGTGTCCTAGAAGGTATATTTAGCAAGAAATTAATAAACAGCCTATGTGACAGTGAAAGTACGCAAGTACAGTAAACCACCTACGTCATAGTGACACGTAAGATCATTTTGTATTTTTTTAAAGCAAGCTTGTAAAATAAATGTATATTTTATGAGTAGCGTATGTTACTTATTTCCTAAGATGCAGTGGACAATAAATAAGTATAAATTAGACAAATTATATCGTTTATGATTTCAGTATATTTGACATTTGTAATCACTTACATCAATGTAAATTCCGTTTCTCCCGTCTGATTAGTTTGTATATACACTGCGTGCTTCTTAAAATTATAAACAGTAAAATAACATGGTTTGACTCGTATTCATTGAGATCAACAATAAGTTCCTGTGCGAGGAAATAGGTACAATTTTTACGAATAACACATGTCTATCGGCTTTCTCACGTAAACGTTTGACGAGGTAGCTCGATTAGTTTCAAGCCAAATTAGGGGCTCATACTTATATGAAGGAAGGAGGCGAGTGTCATGCAGCCATCTGTCATTCAGCTGAATATGAATCCCTTACGTGGCTAAGTCGTGAGTTAACTGTTCACATATACATATTTATTTAACTAATTGAAAATGTCTCATGTGTTAATAAAAAGACAGTTTGTATTGTTAAATACCTGCTTAGATACAATAAATTGTATGTGGAAAGGCTACAACAGTCACCTAATGTAAGTTTCAGAAAAATATACAATTCACCATGAAGGTCTGTTAACATAGGTATATGAAGAGAAAAGTTACATTTTACATAAACATCGATATAATTCTTAAATCACCTGGCCTATTTATAACATTTATATAATTGCATAGTTTGAATCAGCGCCTGCAGTTTTTATATTGTAATATTATGAACGCTTGTATAATTATATTACGTACCTACCTACATTTTTTATTTTACATTTTATACAACCAACAGAAATAGCTATGTATAAGTTAGTAGGTACAATTATAATAAAACTATTAACACAAGAACAGATTTACATACATAGCCTAGTACATTTTGGTTTCTACTTAAATTACAACAACAACAAACAATGACAAAAATTAAAATAATACTTTGTATACAGATTTATGAAATGTAGGTATTAACAAATCCTCCCCAAGTATAACTTAAGAATATAGTCTTAGTTGACCATTTCCGGAGTTAGTGTTGATAGTTCAATAGTCAATGAATAACTATTTTATCTTCATTCTGGAACGACATCTATTAGATACAAGTATTTTTATGTTATTTAAATATATTTACAATTTTTCATTTACCTACTTTCCCGACTTATTTTTTATAAACAGCTACTTACTCATTAAATAAACAGAAATATGAAGTCGACTATATAGGTATTTATAAAACGGCAAAACATTTACGGTATAACTCTTTTTTATATTTTTCTTTAGACTAAACATGATTTATAATTGTAAAAAAATTTTAGGTTGAAGACGACTTCAAACCAATCCGTAGGTCAAGCGTAATGAGGTTCCACGGCTCCGGCCTGGAGCAGGAGAAGGAGCGGGGGGGGTTAGTCAGTAAGAGTCTGACACTCCCTCTCACCCTGTCCTGGGCGAGAGAAGACATATAACAGTTGTCCCCTTTATAAAAAAACAGCAGTAACTACCTAGTACTTGTCAGACTCTTACGTATTTAAACCACCTCATTTAAACCACCTCGATCCTTCTCCTGCCCCCAGCCGAGCCGAGGCAAATTATTACGTTGACACCCACAACTGCGACACCTACATAACACACCTATCTAAAAACATAACAAGTTCAATACTTATTTAAGTTTTTATCCAATATAACAAGTCTTTTCAAATTAAATTTTCCAGCATTTAAGTTTTAAATACCTATGTAAGCATAAGGCTCACAGGCCCACCAATGGTTTGATACTGACTCTGTAATGAATTAAATTTTAAAGTACTCAGAAATAACGTCGCACTGCTTCTAAAAGTATAGCCTAGTGGTCTCTCGCACTTATATGCGCAGGTAGATAGTGCAGGAACCTCAAGCCCCCCATTAATTTGCTTATTTTATTGATCCTTTCGTCAACACGGTGATTGCGGAGCGATTGTTTGCGAGCATCGACAAGCCAGTGCGCAGCCCTTTCTGCTTCTGTTTTCGGTTAGCTTTTTGTATCTTATTATTTCTGTGTAGATGCGGGGGTACCGCCTTATTCATTGGCCGATTGTTTGGATCTTGCGTCAATATAACTTTCAGGAAGTTGTGACTTGGCTGTTCAGTAAACTTGTGCGCCGCAAATTTAAAGTGAAGCAATATTTTGTCCACCAACCTCTCGTAGACGCCGACAGTACAGTTCCTAGCGTGATCGAAAGGGTCCTGGACGCAAATTTTGGATTTTGTATTTAACTTTTTTCGGACATCTAAAGTAACATGTTCCTTGTATAAATGGAACTCGTCTGGAAGCTCGAAATTATCAAAACAATTCTTAGGGATCGCGCGTCCGTAGTAAGGACATATAACGAAGTCTGCAAAATTGAATGTACTGAGACATTTGAAGAAGTCGCCCATCAGTTGGTACAGCGGCTCGGTGTTGGTGCCCTCGCCCCCCATACTCTCGTTGAACGCAGTGTTCCAGCCGTCCACCATGTAGCACGGCACGTTCGCTTGCAGTCGATACACGGCCGGCAGAATGTTCTTCATTTGCAAATAAAATACCACCATCATCATTAGCGCGTAATTGCCCATCCGATTGGTGCCTATGAAGTTGTTTAGCTTGGCCCAGTACTTGATTAGAATGGCTAAGGTAAGAGCTCGTCTGTCCCAGTGCAGTAGGAAAGCGAGCAGTTTGCTATTGCGCACGCCAGCAGGACTTTTGAAATTGACATCACAATGACATTGGGTAGGGATGTGGAAAAACTTGACTATGGGGACCTTGGCTGTAGTGATGGCTAGCAGCTGAGTGAACTTAGTGTGGTACCGACCCAGTATGCGCCTCGCACGCACCACATGCTGCGGACTGGGCAGCTCACCGGCCGGCAGAGCCACGTAGCAGTCCACATCACTCGTCTTTATCCCCAGCCCAGTCACCACAGAGCCAAATGGTTCAATCTGGCAACCTGAAACCAATTCAAATAAGTAACATTTAGATTTAGACTGCACTACTATAGGTATTTATAGATGAGTTAATATAACTGCATATTTAATTCATCAAAACTCGATGTGTGTGTATTACCGTGATTGAAAGGTTAACAAGCAGTCCAGAAATCCTAGGTCAGAGAGACTATACAATTATACAAAGATACTATACAGTTTATTACCATAGAATCTGGTATCACAGTAGTTTTTTTTATGCATGGAGGCAAGATTATTACATATTATATTATGGGTACTTGAATTTTTCATCAGGTAAAACTATTACAGGAAATATTAATGGTTACTTTACCAGGTGCCAATTGCTGTAGAGCAAATTCTAAGTCATCAAACAAAAGCTTCAGACTGTGTACTCTCTCTGCAGTCAGTCTCACATATGACAAAATTTCTTGCACTTGCTCGTCAAAATCCCCAACAAAATGTAGATTAGTTGTGTTCAGTATGTCATCTGTGAAAGAAGCATAATTAAGTAAGACAGAAAGTATTGCCAAAGCAAGGTCACTAAGAGCCAAAATGAATAACCAATATCAATACAAAATCTTTGTATTAGATAGATTTTTGTCATTACATTTATGAAGTTTCTGTTGAGAACCTAGATGTTTCAATAAAAAATTGGTTATTCATTTAGGCTGGAAATGGAATGGTTTATAAGAGCTAGGGCATTAAATACTGATTTCATGCAAATCTAATTTCAAGAGTCTATTACTGAATGTTTTTTAAACTTTTGTCTGCCGGTATATGACAAATAATAGAAAACACATTGTGGCCTGCGTGGATCTGCACTCCCGGCATATCAGGGGTTGAAAAACCAATAGATAATTTTGCTATTGTTATGTAAAGATTACAAAATACAAACAGATTAGTCATGCTAGCGAAGGACCAACAGTTTATTGACAGCCAAAAGGTTAACTAAAGCCTAAACGCCAGAAATATTTAAAAATTAAGTTTTTAATAAATCTGTTTCGTTTGCTAAACAAAAATTATAATAAAAGTATCTGTCGATATTCAAAAGCAACTAAGTAAAAACACGCACTATTTCTTGGTCACAAAAAATAACGATACTAATAAAATCTGTTAGTAGCTGGTTGACTGGTTGAATTATTTTTTATCTTTTACCAAAATTAACTGAAGTTAGTAAGGTATATCAAAAATCCAAAAGGACACTCACTAACCACTAGGCTTTGATTATTAATATGTCTAGATAGAGCGTCAAGTGCGCGCAAACGTGTCAAAAAGTGTCGGCCAACTGTTGGCCGACAGTTGCTTACCCGCCGATCAGTACAAACCGTGTCGCTCTATTGTCACTACGCATGACGCGTGCTAAGAAAAAAACTAATAACAGCGATAAAATGACGGTATGTGCTATAAAAGTGTGCCGGAATTATAAAGGAAGGGCAAAAAATACCTAACACCTCACCTATCATCAGTAAATAGCCAAGAAAATTACATATATTTAATTTTTGTTTTAATGCTTACCAAATGACGCCATATTTTTTCGTTTTATCAGTGTTGCCAGTTTCTGTTTTTCATTCTCCCAACTTAACGGCACTTTTGTGGGTAAATATTAGTTTGTTTTTGGTTACGTCTACACAATTTCGTTCATGTACTTTTTAAAGTTTTACTGGTCAAATGCAAATTGAACTCGAGTGCAAAGGGTTCCCAACAAAAACATTTTTTTAAATATCACTTTTTAAATCGTGTATTTTCCTAAAATCTATGGGTACATATTATCTGTAGTATATTTTCTTAATTTTAGGCCTAATAATGTCGGAGATAAGGCGATAAATTATATAATAACTTCTGAACAGACTTTTTTCTTTATTACCCGACTTCCAAGAAGAGTTATGTTTTTTTTTATCACGTATATCCTAATATAATAATAAATGCGAAAGTTTGTATGTTTGTTTGTTTCTCCTTCACGCAAAAACTGCTGAACCGATTTAGATGAAACTTGGCAGTAATATATCTTATACATCAGAATAACATACAGGCTACTTTTTATACGGGTGCGCGATGCGAGTAGAACCGTGGGAAACAACTTTTCGTGTATATGTATGAGCGTAATATTCTTTATTACCTCATATTTTTGAAACTTTTCCCCGACGCTTTATTCGCCCGACGTTTCGGGCGAGTCCACCCGTCACCACGGTCAGTGCAATTCGGCCGAAACGTCACGTCGGGTAAAGAAAAAGGTATCGTACCATTTTAGTAATAAGTATAATATTGCGAATAAGTCCCGATTTATACAAATATTGTTATACTTGTATAATTTACCTAATTGATTTAATTACAACATTCTACCACCTAATTTTAATTAAATAAGTGTCTTTAATTTATTTAAAACAGCAACAACTGAAATATAAAAATACACTAAAACTGAATAACACTAGGTACATACATACATACAACCCTAAAGTTTTTTATTTATTCTATTTTTAATGTTATTTATGGGAGAATTTGTAGTAGCTGGTATCATTATTCCGTATTGTTTACGCACACAAAGACATAGACGCGCAGTGTAAAACGACGCCTGCACGCACACATGCTTGAAATAGTTGACTCGTTTTCTTTGTTATGATTGTAGGGCGACACTCCATCTAGACATATTAATAATCAAAGCCACTAGGTAATTTTGTTTGATTATAATTTCATAAGTATATAAAGTATATTTTAAAACAATAACAGATAATTAAGTATAATGTAAGTGGATTCTGTATATTTACCTTGCCAGTTCATGGTGTTTTCTATACAAGCAGTAGTTTTTACAAAATAATATTAGAAACGATCCGAATTATTCATTTATTGTTAATTTTCAAGATTCCAATGTGTTTATTTTTATTCTGTCTGTCAGTTATTTTGTTTCTGTCATATGTCTGAATTGTCAGCATGTCTGCAACTTCGAAGAACTATCCATAGTCTATGGAACTATCTATGATTGATGCACAGATGTGAGATCCAGATCAGGCAACAAATTCGAGGGGAAAATTATAGTAGCTCGAATCAAAAACACACATTGAACCTATACCTATAATGATGTATACAACATACGTCATTGCATCAAACCGCTATTATCGAAATTAAAGCAATAAATTATTGTACGCATTGTATGACAAACATTAAAATTTATATAGTATATATAGATTTTTACTGTTAGCAATAATTCAAAGTTGGGATTTCTAAAATACAACGTAAGAACGTTATCGTTAATTTTACTGTCTTGAAAAGTCCCTATTATAAATTTCATTATAGATCAATTTTACTTAACAAAACATGTATTGCACAGTGGCTGGACTGTCAGGCTCTTACTGGTGCCGACTTCTAGTTCAAGGAGCACTAGGGAAGAAGGTGCAGATCTCCACGTACTCCACGTCTCCACTCTGCTATGTGCCTCTACGGCTACAGGTTTTTTGCTTACCAGATAGCGCCTATCTATTCCTCTTGTCTTTTCGTCAAAAATAGCACACCATCACAAAACATAAAATATACTCCTAAAAGTGGGATTACGAACTAAGAAATAAGCAACTGCGCTGCTACTAGGATGCTGCCCAGCAGTGACATTGCTGCTAAGCTGTTGGAATATAATCTCAAACTAACTTGTACAAATTGTGTAGGGACCAGCATCCCATCATCACTGGTTGCTGCGTATTGTAGAGTTTGGAAATTTTCGATTGATTTCGCCTGGTGAGCAAAACGAGAAATTATGTTTTTGTAGGTACCTAAATCATCCAATTAACTTTTATCGCTTAGGGTATGACGAGAGAGATTGTCCGAGTTACTAACTTAAAACCACCCCGTTCCTACTTCCGGTAGCGGCCGTGGTGCCTTATTGCGCTTGCCCTGCAAATCCGGCTGAAATATCTAATGAAGTTATGACACAGAACAAATAAAAAACCTTTTTTATCCGTTCTGTCTTATACCATTGGGTTAATTTAGGGGACATGACTCTTCCCGCCCAAGCTTAAAAACTTGTGGTAAAAGGCCAAGACATGCCTGTCTACCCAGGCATCGAGTGAGCAAAAGGTGATGTTATTTCACGTCTTCTGCAACGATGGACCATAGTCAACTAGCAGCAGGCTCGTTAAATTATTGTGGCAATAGTATGCCTATTCACTGTTTCATAACTAATAATTGGATTAGAGAGGGCATGGTTGGCGCGATGCCCGGGCATTTGGCTCAACTGGAAGCTATCCTCTTTTTTCGGGTCTGGGTGTATGTGAAATTAATTGTATGTTTGTAAACGCACCCATGATGCAGGAGAAAATAATAGTGTGGCCAAAAAAAAAGGATACCGATGAAGTCTTTTGCTGTTTAGCGTCTCAAGAATTTGAAGATACTTTTGTCATCAATAATTATAATACTTTTATGATAAACAGGGAAAAAATTAAACGACAATTTTAGTTAAAATTAAAATTTCTATAAACCGCATAAAAATAAATCGTAAGTGACTTAGCTTAATATTAAAATAAAATTTTATTCACTATTTCTATTGATAGAACGATTTTTACACTAAGTAATTATACTCATAAGCTTAATGTCTCAAAATAGAACATGTCTCCGTGTTACTTTAGCGCCAGGTGACGCCACGTCAGTGCCGGGCGGATACCCGCGCGTTTCTAGATTTCTGGCGCCACAGTCGCTTGTTAGCAAACATTCTGCGTTTTTAGAGAAATTTTCTACATGTTTTGTCAATGTTGCGGCATTTTATCACAATTTTCTGTATTTATCGTCAAAATTTCTTATGTGTTATTCGTTACATTGTCTGCACTTTTAATGGGGGTAACATCTGTATTGTTAGTAACCACGTCAGATGTTTTACTTTGTATTGTTTCATCACAATTATTTATTACGATTTTCTTATTTTGAGGGCAATCTTCGACATTAATTTTCAAACTGTTTCTGGTTCTATTTGTTAAGATATCTACGGTTGTTGCAGCGTCTGGCCCGTCATCCGCCAATTTAGGTTTTGCAATTAGATGTGACTTAGGTAGGATTACGATTTCCTCATCGTCGTCGGAATCAATTTCACTAGTATGGTTGTTGGCTTCTAAGGTCTCGGCTATTTTAGTAGCTGTATCCTTGCAATTGGGCATCGAGAATGGCTTCAGTAACTCGGTTACCCAATTCTGCGTCACTGATATGAAGAACTTCCCAAATTCTCTGAATGCGTCCAGATCCCCGGATCCGAGCCTTATAGAGATGACAGCGCTTTTAGGCTGATGGCAGTAAGTCATGGTTAACTGGAATTGAACATTAATGTCCTGTTTTTCGACATTAATAACTTCTTGTGTAATCCTTCCTTGTCTCTCCTCTAATGTCAAATCCATTTGTTTGTACAGCCTGGAGAATGATTTCCTCTTCCATATGGGTTTAGTTAATGCGCCGCTATACTTTTCTTTCTCCTTCTTAGTATCTGGGTTGACTTTCTCCTCAACTTTGCCAAGCTTGATCATTAACATGTTCTCAAATATCTCCATCACCATGTCTCTCACTACAGACTTCCAGTCGAAGCTAATTATGGTATTTACTATTCTAGGGAACAAATTTACTCTGTACTCGGGGTGCGTTTTTCCACGAATAAGTTTAGGTTTCTGTAATAAAATAATTTTAAGAAATTCTTGGCATCCATTTGTTTTTTCCTTCTCATATGCGTTAGCACAAAATTTGAAGTAGGTTTTGATGTCCAAAGCTAATTTGCTGGTGATCGCGGAGGCAACGTTATGGCATTGTTCGAAAGGGTCCTGCACGACCATCGCAGTCTGATACCTTATCGGCATGACGTAGTTGTTTAACACATTGTTCTTGTAGAGGTCAAACTCTTTTGGCATATTGGCCGTGTCCTTGAACATTTCTCTTTTGACGGGAACGCCCAGATACGGGCAAACGATCATCTCGTCGAAGTTAAACATGGAGTAATACTCAAAGAAGCCTCCGAGCAACTCGGAGATTGAAGAAGTGTTGGCGGAAGGGGGGAGCTGCGCGGGGTCGGCGTTGAAGCCGGTGTTCCAGTGGTCCACCATGTAGGCATGCGCCGGGTCGCGCTGGAGCCAGGCCACGGCGGGCAGCGCGGCCGGCGCCTGCTGCAGGTAGAAGACCAGCATCAGCGTCAGCGCGTAGTTGGTCAGCTTGCCGGTGCCCGTGAGCTCGTGCACCTTGGCCCAGTACTTCAGCAGCACGGCCAGCGGAATCAGGCGCGCGTCCGCATGCAGGAGTAGCGCCAGGAGCCGGCTGTTCTGCGCGCCCAGCGGGGACTTGAATGTCACGTCGCAGTTGGTCTGCGTGGGGATGTGGTACAGCTTCACAATGGGAGTGTTGGCGCGGGGGATGGATAGGATCTCCGCGAACGTGCCCGGGTACTGCTGGAGCACTCGCTTGGCCTTGTTCACGTAGTTACCGGTGGGCACGCGGAACTGCCCCGGGATGTTTATGAAGCAGTCCGCGTCGCTCGTTTTAATGCCCAGTCCGGTCGTGATTGAACCAAATGGTATCGCTTTGCAACCTGAATAAAAATATATGTTCAGTACATAAAACATATTACTATTTTTTTAATAGAACTCTAAATGACTGAAAATACAACTAATTACCTGGCCAGTGCGCTTGCAATGCTATCTCTAGGTCAGTGTACAATAAACTAAGAGACTGCACTTCTTCCATCTTGAGTCTTACTGCAAATAGGATGTTATCTAGCTGTGTGTGGAAGTCACCAGTCAAGTCGATCTTCTTGGGTTCCAATATGACTCCTAGGGAATATAATAAAGATTGAGTTTACGTTTTTTTACACAATACATTTAACATGGTACCTATAGACAAAAGCCTCCGACTTAGACCGCGGCGTCAAAGAAAATTTATTAACAACTTGCATACTATGGTTAGTAAGTGTATCTCGTTAACAAGCAGTAATTGTGTTTGTCTACAATTTTTATTTATGTATTGCGTTTAAACTTTTTTGTTTGCGCGCAGTAGACAATAATCATTCAATATGGGAAATAGGCTGGCGAGAAACACCTGTGAAAGATCTATCTGTATATACCTTTCTTTTTGCTAAGTGGAAATTCTCGCTTCGGCGTGGCAGGTTGATGCGGCGGGCGGTTGTCTTCGGTCGCCAGCTTTGTGGAGTACGGCTTCACTGACAAGAAGTGTCCGTAGATGTGGAGTCGCTTGTTCGCCCTTAGAGCTGCTCTTACTTCATCTTCATTAGAGTATGTTAGAGTGGCAGACCAGCTATTGCATTTGTCTATTCTTACATTACCAAATTTTGTAAAAACGTCAAGTAAGTCTTGCGGCTGAGTGTAGTTGGGGTAACCTGCAATTGTGAGTCATATTTTATCTTACATAATAATTAATTGGTTTTCGATATTACTCGAGAACGGATGGTCTGATTAAGTTAATTTTGGTCCTGGAATATCATATCAATAGTCCAGAGAAGGTCAGAATGCAGTCGTTAATTTTGAGGTGGTACGGCATTTGGGCATTAGCCGTTTCTATGTCATAAATAGATAATTGAATTACCGTCTCGCTGCTGATAAATATAAAGTTATGCTTACCAGAGACGAGAACTCTGCGGGAGGCGGGTGTGTGTGGGTGGGCATCAGCTATCTCTGGGCCAGGAGGGCGGCGGCGCGCCGCGTGGCGCGGGGCCGGGGCAGGGCGCGGGGCCGGGGCCGGGCCCGGGGCAGGCCCGGTGGACGACGACGGCGTCGGGGTGGACATCTGCACCTGCCCTGCTCTGTCCATGGTTCATGGGAACAGGTGCTCACCTAGAAACAACCATTATACACTTGGTTCTATATTATATTTACTAAAAAAAAAGTAATAAATGTAAATACATTACAAAAATAAAGGCACACAATGAATAAGAGAAAAAGCATTACAAAAAAAGCAGGGTGCAGGTAGTAATATATTTTTACTTACACACAACTGCAGAATTTATTTTCAAATAATGGAATAAGAATAACTCAATCCAGTGTTATGAGGCGAAGGCAAAACCCCATTTGATGTCTCAAAGTTAATAAACTTTTAAGAGAAAAGCAATTACTACTATCATGGTGCTGTTAATGGCATAAACACAAACATTAATGTCTTAACATATTTAGTTAACTGGTATTTTAATATTGGGATGCATTAATAACGTAATTAGGATATCATTAAACAATGATTACTTCACAAATAACATATAATGGGAAACTTTAAACTGTGGATCGAGTAGGATATAGGTTAGAATGTATTATAACAGATTGGTGGGTAGGTGACCTGTGACAGTGAATTTTCACACTTTTAAAAGTAGTTTGGATGAGCTAAAAGACTTGTTGCTGTAGGAAACTCAATTCATAGGTTCAATTTACTCTAGGCAATGCAATGGATAACTGGTGCACTGCATGTATCTTTGTAGTAAAATAAGAAAAAGTCATTTAAACTTACCTGTATGAATATTTACAACTTTTTCAAAGTACTTAGATTCCAAATATCCCTCCTTGTTACCACTGGTCAGGATAACACCATTTTCTGACTCAAAGAATTTTATACCATCTGCAAGTGCCTTAGAGAGATTTATGTATATGTGGACTTCAGTGTTCTGCCGGAGCCCACTGATCACGGAAGCATCATCTAATGTACCTTTTGCTAAATGAATGTGCTTCCGTTTCATACGACATAAGCCTTCATTTTTTATGACTTTCCAGCATTTAAGATATGTGCCATGAATGACAGTGTTGTATTTGACCTGAAAAGCAAAATTTTACTTATATCAGTTTATAAATATTTGTACATCAAGCATTAAAAGCTGTGCTTGAGATTTTTTGCGGATCACTAACTCCACATACTTTTCATAATTTTTTTGTTTAGGTTTATCATAAGTTATGTTTGCTAACTTATATCATAGAGAATGATTCTACTAGAGAGCAATTTTCAAAATTCCATGTGGTCAAGTTAAATATGAATGACAACCTCAGTGATGGGTGTAAGGTCCGCATCAGTAACGTCACTAATAGTGTGACCCTGGTTTGCTTTGATCTCTAGATAGTTGGTAGACGGGTTCTTCCGCACCTTAAACCTCTGCTTATCATTGTTACTAACAACTCTTTCAATGTCCAATGTGGTATATTTGCCTCTAAATGTTTTATGTTGTAATATTTTGTTTACTTCTAAATATCCTTCAGGGCTGAAACAATAGCACTTATTATAGACGAAACAAGGGCTATAACAACCAGTTGCCTACTTTAAATGATTAAACAATTTAATTTCTATTCCATTAATATTCAATATCACACACATGTTGTTTTCAGGACAGATAAATTAATAATAACCAGAGTCCTATATCCATTCAGAACATTAGCACTGGTTAAAGACGGCTGTCTGATCATAACAAGAGCAAGAATTTAAGAACTTGAGTGAGAACCATATTACACCATCACCATGGCCTACTAGATCTTTAACAATTTGCTCGTACTACAGCGCGAGTAATGCAAGTCGAGCAGTATTAACAATAGATGTTCAATGTGGAGCAAAATATAACGCAAACACAACATAATTGACGTAACCAATTTGAGATGCGCCCGAATGTGTCGCGTCTTAACTGTTAGAGCAAGAGTATTGCGACCTTTTTTTAATCTCTATGCATTTTATGATAGTATTTTGAATTTTCTTTTTTTGAGTTGACAAGAGAACGTCAAGTAATAAATATGTGTTCTGCCAAGTGTGTTTTTACTAATATCCTATAATATATCTTTATGAATTTTTCTTCCAAGAGCTACTCTGTGAAGGAGTGTACCTACGTAGTATCACACTCCTTCAGGTTATGATCACCAGCGGAAATAGAAAGTACGATCATGAATAACTCTGGGAGCAGCGGCAATGGTACGCATATACAATCACAATCGTATCCATCCCAAGGAGTAAGTATGAGTTTACCAGCAATAGAGAAACTTGATGGTAGTACTGATTATAATACATGGAAGTTCATGATGGAACTTTATCTAATTCATGAAGACTTGTGGGAATACACTCAAACAACACCAGCTGCTAGTGATGTTTCCGGCTCTAAAAGAGATCAGAAAGCGAGGGCAAAAATCTGTTTAATGATTAAACCACATTGTTTGATACACGTACGTGAATCGAAGACTGCAAAAGCGGCATGGGATGCCCTGAAGACTGCCTTTGAAGACAAGGGCCTGAATAATCGATGCAGACTTCTTACAAAGTTGGTGAGCCTGAAACTAGAGCAATTTTCTTCAATCAGAGACTACATAACTGCCATAATGACAGTAGCGCAACAGCTACGTGATCTGGGCAAAAAGGTAGATGATGAATTACTTGCAGCGTTGATGCTACAGGGGTTGACAGAGACTTTCCAACCCATGAGGTTAGCAATAGAAAACACAAACATAGAATTGACTACAGATTACGTCAAAACGAAATTACTTCAGATGGAGGATACTTATCAAGCAAGTCCTAGTACCGTGACAACCGCATTACAAGCTAAAAATAAAAGTCAGAAAGATAAGTCACACAAGAATATGAGTAGATCACGTGTCGTTAAGTGCTTCATATGCAAAGAGAACCATAAGGCTAAGGATTGTCCGAAAAACCCTATTCAAAAGAAGGATGCCTTAACCTCATTAGCGTTAGCAACAGTAGCACAAGGACATGGAGAATGGATTCTCGACTCCGGAGCTTCTAACCACATGACAAATCGGAGAGATTGGCTTAAAGACTTTAAGAAATTAGACAAATCAATTGTAATAGCTTGTGCAAATGGAGAAACTGTGGTTGGTGAAGCAATTGGTAATGTAGTCAACGAGGATATGGACGTCTCAATTAATAATGTTTTGTATGTACCTAACTTAGCTACAAATTTACTCAGTGTTAGCACAATTGTAAATAAAAACCTTGTAGTTGTATTTGAGAAATCTGGCTTTAAGATAATCAAAGCAGATGGATGTAAGGTTTCCGGGGAGACCTTGTATGAAGGTACTGCAAATAACGGTGTCTATAAAATACAGTATTGTTCACAGGAAGTAGGTCTAGCTTCAACCGCTGCTGACGAAATAATATTGTGGCATAGGCGAATGGGACATCTAGGGGTACGGAACCTAATGTTACTTAAAAACAAAATGGCAGATGGGGTAAGTTTTTCTAATACTGCTTCTAAGCTAGAGTGCGAAGCGTGTGCAGTAGGAAAACAGACCAAGAACCCTTTCAAGAAAACTGGTGCCACTAGGGCAAGTGAGGTCTTAGGGTTAGTCCACACAGACGTGTGCGGACCCATGAGAGAGAAGTCGTACGGAGGCTCACGATATTTTCTCACATTCATTGATGATTTCACTAGAAAAACATTTGTATATTTCTTGAAAAGTAAAGGAGAGGTCTTTGAGAAGTTTGCCGAATTCGTAAAACTTACTGAACGTCAAACTGGAAAGAAATTTAAAATTATCAGATCTGATAATGGCAAAGAGTTTGTCAATAAGCGTATGGATGAGTTCTGTAAAGCAAAAGGGATCTGTCACCAACTGACAATAGAGTATACACCCGAACAAAACGGAGTTGCTGAGCGAGCTAACAGAACTATCACTGAAAAAGCCAGGACAATGTTAGAAGAAGCTGGTTTAGGCAGAAAATTGTGGGCAGAGGCAGTCAACACCGCCGTGTATTTAAAAAATAGGTCTCCAACTAAAGCCTTGAGAAACAAAACGCCCGAAGAAGCTTGGACTGGAAGAAAAGTGAACTTAAGCCACCTCAGAGTGTTTGGATGTAAAGCTTATCTTCATGTTCCAGATCAGAAGCGCACAAAATGGGATCCTAAGGGCACAGAGTTAGTCCATGTTGGATATGGCGAAAACGGTTATCGCCTTATTAACCCTACGACAGGAGTGTTGCACAGAGGTAGAGATGTTATATTTTTTGAAAACTCAAAAGTACAGCTACGTGCTCCCGTTAATCAAGCCGTCCCGCTACCGCTGACGGATGTTACGGTTGAGTATGATAGAGTTTCAACTCATCATGAAGAGCCAGAAATTCCTGAAGAACCTGGAAATCCAGCTCTTGAGAATGTTGAGGTTGAAGATGAGGTTTGGGAATCATCTGACGAGGGGAATGAAGCAGATCCTGAGGATGGTCTTGTAGAAGAAGGTAGAGAGCTACCAGTAAATGACAATGGGCCATCAGATAGAAGATATCCGCTTCGAGAAAGAATACCAAAAGCATATCCAGATTTTGTAACTTACCAAGCAGTCAAGGCATCGCCAGACCCTTTAACTGTTCAGGATGCATTATCTAGAGAAGATGGAGACAAATGGAAAGCCGCAATTGAGGAGGAGCTGAGAGCCCTCGAGAAGAATAAAACTTGGACGTTGGTGAAGCAGCCAAAGTCGTGCAACATTGTTGATTCGAAATGGTTATTTCGAATTAAAGAAGAGGCGGGGGGAAAGACTCGTTATAAGGCACGACTTGTAGCAAGAGGATTCAGCCAACGGAGAGGAGTCGACTACTTTGAAACTTTTTCGCCTGTAGTCAGACATAGCTCATTAAGAGTCTTAATAGCCTTAGCCGCCCGTTTAGAGTTAGGCATAGATCAAATGGACGTTAAAACGGCATTTTTGAATGGAGACTTAAATGAAATCGTCTATATGAAGCAACCAGAGGGGTTCGAGGTAAAGGGCAAGGAGAATTATGTCTGTCTTCTAAAAAAATCTTTGTATGGACTGAAACAAGCGCCACGAGCGTGGAACGCAAAGCTTCACTCTGAACTTATAAGACTGAAGTTCAGAAGATCTGAAAATGAGCCATGCGTTTACACCCGGTCACAGAATGGAAACATAATGATTATTGCTGTGTATGTAGATGACATTTTGATATTTTGGAATAATAAGCAAGAGATGTTCAAATTCAAAGAAGAGTTGAAGTCTAGATTTGATATGAAAGATCTCGGCAAAGCTGAGTTAATGCTGGGAATTAATATTGTTCAAGATGTCAACAAAATTAAACTGCATCAGGAGAAGTATATTGATGGACTCCTGAAGGCATTTAATATGGAAGACTGCAAACCAGTAGTTACACCAGCAGTACCCGGTCAACGGCTAGAGAAGCCTACACATGGAAGGAGACCAGATGAGAGAATTCCATATCGAGCACTGATAGGTTCGCTCATGTATGTAGCAGTATGTACAAGGCCTGACATTGCTCATGTGGTTAATTATCTTAGCCAGTTCAATGAATGCTATGAGGAACAACATTGGATTGTAGCAAAGCGAATCCTCCGTTACCTGAAAGGAAGCAAGACGCTTGGGTTGACATACAACAAACAAAAATACCCAGAAGTTGTTGTTGGTTACGCGGATGCCGATTATGCAGGAGACGCTGATCGACGTTCATATTCAGGTTCCGTGTTTCTTATTCAAGGAGGTGCAGTTTCTTGGCAAAGCACGAAACAACGAACGGTGGCTATGAGCACAGCCGAAGCAGAATACGTGTCGCTATCAGAAGCTGCAAAAGAAGCTGTCTTTCTCAAAAGGCTGATTGCAGAGATGACTGGTAAACAGGAAGAAACAATTCGGATTTTCTCAGACAGCCAGTCAGCAATTGCTATAGCCAATAATCCTGTACATCACCAACGTACAAAACATGTTGATGTGAGATATCATTTTATACGCAATGCTGTTGAGTCGGGAGCTATAAAATTGGAGTATCGGGAAACAGATAAGATGGTAGCAGATGCTCTGACCAAGGCTCTCCCCAGAGGCAAGTATGAGTGGTGTGTGAATGGTATGGGATTGCGTGTATAAAGTAAAGATGTGTGTGTACATATCATATGCATGAGATTAAGGAGGAGTGTTAGAGCAAGAGTATTGCGACCTTTTTTTAATCTCTATGCATTTTATGATAGTATTTTGAATTTTCTTTTTTTGAGTTGACAAGAGAACGTCAAGTAATAAATATGTGTTCTGCCAAGTGTGTTTTTACTAATATCCTATAATATATCTTTATGAATTTTTCTTCCAAGAGCTACTCTGTGAAGGAGTGTACCTACGTAGTATCACACTCCTTCATTAACTGCTACATTGACATTCAATGTTTGTATTATGTCTACAACTGTGTCCACACTCTTCACACATCTTTATAACACCACGCAACATACCTTAATTTAAAACCTTCTTTGACTGCTCCGTGCCGTAGCAGCCACGATAGTGATTTACTCAGTTGAATATCTTTATTATTCCTGCAATAAAAATACACTTGATGAGAATAATCACAATAGTCACCTCAACATTGCGCGTCCGAAAGTCAACGTACATCTAATTTGTCAACGAATAAGTTTGTAGTGCCTACGGATAATAATGGAATATGCTTTTGTTTCACACTTATTATAAAGTTTGTAATATTTGGTCAATCAAGTCTTTCACGACCTGAAAATTTGCGAAAAATGTTTTAAAACAGAAAAATAGAAAACAAAGGATGCGGTTGTCTTCGCAAAAAACGCATGCGTTATTTTCCCGTCGACTTGACAAGAAGTCAGTCAATGTGTTTATTTTAAAACGAGTTTAGAAAACAAGGTCATTGGTATTGCCAAGCGTAAATAATGTAAAAACTGATGACGACGACATCGCGACATGCTACACATTGTACATAGGCTGTGGCTATGTTTATGCATTCGTAATGTATTATTTTGTTATATAAAGAGAAAGGGAGACTACAAAATAAAGAAACACTTTCCCTATTCTTTATTTTCATCACTGATATTTTAGTTTGGTTTAATATTATGAAGAGTTGGCACTCTATATCGAAATTCTTTACTTTTAATGTATGTGGTGGTCCTTAATGTTATCATTAGATCTGGATAACGTGGATTATCAGCTATTTATGATAAAACTTGTATCAATATCATTCAATTTAATACTTAAAACAGTAGGCAGAGCCACACAATATAAAAGTGGCAGGTAACTAACATTTCATGAGGTATATAGAACCCATATGCTAGCACATTCTAGCACCCATATATTAGGGAGAGTGCTTATCGCTAACTCCGAGTAAATTGAATTTTTTCTTGCTTTTCATTTCTACCGTACCCATAACCATAAATCGATATAGAACATGGTAATACAGGCATAACGTATATTTTTTTCATACAATTATGATCATTATGCTTGGTATGATTAGCATTCAAAAAGGTGTGGTCTGATTTGGTACATCCATAGACAACTAATTTGAGGGAAGACTGAAAATCAATGAAGTGTATGGAATAGACAATAAAGCATAGACTTAGGTCAGCTGACTTCATTTCTATCATTGGTCTTGTGATAAGTTGTGAACCTCCGCCATTCTCGGTCCGTCTTTTCCATCTTTCTCGTCCTGTGAGTTGTATTTTAAATATTATATATTGTAATTCGTTCTTTATTTAGCTTGTTTTTATAGGTGTATGTGTTATTGACTGTGGATATTCTTTCTTTTCTTCCTAAATTTTGGGTAAGACTGTTCCTGATTCTGCCATAGTATTTTTCTTTGCTACCATGTAATGTCACGCATTATTAGACTTTTTTGGGTTTTTGCTTCTATTTAGTTTGGTTTTTTATGATAATTGTTACGAATTATGTATAGATTCAACATTGTTGCCCCCTCTTAGCTGATAATGTATCTTCATTTAGTTAATTATCCCTCCACCCAATAATCATGTGATGTGTTGAGATTTGTATCAGAACACTTGAGATTGTCCAATAAGTTTGCGTGCTTATAGGATTCCTGCAGTGTAATAAGAAAAGCTAAAATTATGAATTGAGAGACCATTCATCCATGTAAGTGTCCATTAATCTTGATATTTTAAAGTTGTGTGTGATAACACCAGTGTTGGGTGTAAAGCCCTTGTTTGACTAGGATCATCCTCTTAAGTTTGGCTTGTTTCTAAATTAAATTCTGTTTCACTGTCAGTAGACTTGACTTATTTGATACTTATTGGAATCTAGATAAATGGATTTTGTAAAAGTGTGTAATATGAGGATATATAATACATTATATTAGAGTTATCAGGTACAGGGTAACAAGTGTGATGAATATAAAATTCATTCTTCTTATATCACTAATTAGTTATGAATACACCAAGCTCTTTCCTAAATATTAAACTAATTACAATGGGGTAATAATGACAATCAATACCCAATGTGAATACATCTGAAAATTTAAAATGAGTATTATTATGTGTTGGAAACCAAAATTCTTGAACAAACAAGATAGATTTAAATCATATGACCTGTGAACATAACAACTTATCATCAAGGTATTCTTCTCTTTTACTGATAGTACATAATTTGCTTTTCTAAATAGTAATCCACCATTAGGAAGGTATTATAAACAGTACAAAACTTATTACATAAAATGAATGCTCAATTTTTCAGTTTCTACTATAGTAATTTCTATAGGTGTTTGTAAAATCTAATTTTATGTTATTAATTAAAGGTCAAAAATATTGTGAAAATTGTGGATTACTTGAACAACTTTTCCATAAAATCATACATAATTTTTGACAGAATTTTCTCTAAAATGACATATGACATTGATGGATGAAATGGTTTATCAGTGCTCATTGATAAAAGCTAAGTCAGCTGATCTGCCAGTCTATGGTTTTAGTCCGGCCAGCTACAAGGTACTGCTGCAATTGCAATAAAGTATTGAATTTCCCTAATATTATTTTGAACTTTATGTCTTTAAATTTAAAAATTAATGTTTTAGGTACATTTTTAATCCTTTTGAATTAATTTGAACAAAGTGGCAGAATCAAGTGCAGTCTTCATTGTGTTGTTAGTCTTATTTTTTATTTCAGTGCTCTTGCTCTATAATTTACATCTAACTATGGAATTAGTCTTATCAAGCACTCCACGGATACTGTTGGTGTTGTAATTTAAGTGTTTCACTTAATTAGTATTTTATTGTCAATTTTAACCTTTCAGCACTTGAGGACTTCTTTATTACACCTTGGTAAATTAATAATAATATTATAATTTGTCAGCAGGTAAAGAATTAATAATTCAAAATGAGCAAAAGCGGTTTGAAGACAATCGCTGATGAGGAGAAGGAGGAGAAGTTCGGATTCGTATTTGCCGTATCCGGTCCCGGTATGTTCATGCTTTTTCTCTACATTTATCTTCACTGCCTTGTTTTAAATTCGATCACAAGGGCAATACAGGCTTGAGATAGGGCTTTTCTAATAAATTCTAAGTAACAATAGGGCCTGGAATTGAATCCAGAATCATGATATGCTTATATCATATGCATATAATAGGTTTACCTGTTATTTCATGGAAAGACTAGTTAACAGGTGTTTTATTATGTTATGTTTAACGTTTCGCTTGCCTTTTGGGGGTAAAAAGCGTAATATTTTATCTCATCTCATCAAGTTACCTAGTGAAAAAAAGGCTTTAGATGGCTCTAGTAATATCGAATAGATATCTAGGTCACAATTTTTCACGAAATTTAGGTCAACATTATGAACGTTTCTTACGTCATTGTAAGGCGTATTTGGCACTCGATTCTGTTATGCACCATACAGATTTGCTGCGACATTTTTTATATTATAATGTCGTTCAAAATATTTATTGATTTTATAATTAAAGAGTTTTTTTCTTGACATGATCCAACAAATAGTACAAATACGATGTCTGATTGAATCAGTAGGCAAAAGTAGGTCGAACGTATCTTCAAACTGAAACCTATTGGAATATTTCGCCTTTGACCAACGTTATGTAGATCTATAGTTATGGAATAACGATAGGAATGTATTATGTATTTAAATTTTGTAGGTCATATAAAGATGAACTTTACATGGCACATGATAACTATTGACACATGCCAAATAATGTTTTGAAATAAAAACATAGTTAACATTACCACATATTATAAAATAATTGACAAATTCTGATTGAACTTATTGATTACGACAGTCGTAACGGCGGAGAAAATGTCCGGATCGGCTATGTACGAGCTGGTGCGTGTCGGGTACAACGAGCTGGTCGGAGAGATCATTCGTCTTGAGGGTGACATGGCCACTATCCAGGTACCTCCTCAGTTTGCTATAAATACAATTATTTTGTCAACACTCTAATTATGATTACTGATTTTTTAAATCTTATTTTGCAATGCCAATTTAATGTAAATATTAATAACAGGTATACGAAGAAACATCAGGTGTAACAGTAGGTGACCCCGTACTGCGTACCGGCAAGCCCCTGTCTGTTGAACTTGGTCCCGGTATCCTGGGCTCCATCTTTGACGGTATCCAGCGTCCATTGAAGGACATCAACGAGTTGACACAATCCATCTACATCCCAAAAGGTGTCAACGTACCCTGCCTTGGACGTGATGTCTCCTGGGAGTTCAACCCCTTAAACGTTAAGGTGGGTATCGGTTTCATACATTCACTTGTACTGAAATTGAAATAGTTGAATAATCATTAAACATTTGTTAATCAGGTTGGTTCTCACATCACCGGAGGAGACTTGTACGGTATCGTACACGAGAACACACTGGTTAAGCACAAGATGTTGATCCCACCCAAGGCCAAGGGTACCGTCACCTACATCGCGCCCTCTGGCAACTACAAAGTAACTGTAAGTATTATCAACTGGTATCTATCCCCCTTGAGGGAAATAACACTTATGTGAAGCAGTAACAGTCCACCTTAGGTAAGCATAGTGAATGCTTGCTTAAGGTGGACTGGCAACCTTAAACTTATAGTTCCAAAATTATAAATCATGTGTTGTGAGTGGTGTGAGATGGAGTCTACATGAGCGATGTTTGCAGGATGTTGTATTGGAGACTGAGTTCGATGGCGAGAAGGAGAAGTACACTATGTTGCAAGTATGGCCGGTGCGACAGCCCCGCCCTGTCACTGAGAAGCTCCCTGCCAACCACCCACTGCTGACCGGACAGAGAGTGCTGGACTCTCTCTTCCCGTTAGTATTGCACTTATATAACATTTATTTTATTCAAAGTGCAGCAGATTTTATATCGTTCTTCAAAAAACATTCCTGTTTTGTGAATGCAAGTAATTTTATCACATACATAGATAATTGTGCATCACTCCAAGAATACAATTATTCTTGTTCGTTCAGTGCTGCAAACAGAGTCGTGCTCATTTCGTGTTTCATTAACACATGTGTTTTTGTGCAGTTGTGTGCAGGGAGGTACTACCGCCATTCCCGGAGCCTTCGGTTGTGGCAAGACTGTCGTCTCACAGGCTCTGTCCAAGTACTCCAACTCTGACGTCATCATCTACGTCGGTTGCGGTGAACGTGGTACGTATCATAGCCTATGCTTATTGTAAAACACTTTTAATGTTACTTGTGTTAAACATTTTTTGTGTGAATAGTAGAATGCGTCTCAATTTGTTGTGATATTATACAGGTAACGAGATGTCTGAGGTACTGCGTGACTTCCCCGAGCTGACTGTGGAGATCGAGGGTACGACCGAGTCCATCATGAAGCGTACCGCGCTGGTCGCCAACACCTCCAACATGCCTGTAGCCGCCCGAGAGGCTTCCATCTATACCGGTAAATTATTTTGATCCATCATTTTTATTAAAATTTTCTCATCATCATTTACTCAGTATTCTAATGAAAAAAATATCTCGCCAGGTATTACCCTCTCCGAGTACTTCCGTGACATGGGTTACCACGTGTCCATGATGGCTGACTCCACCTCCCGTTGGGCCGAGGCTCTTCGTGAGATCTCAGGTCGTCTGGCTGAGATGCCTGCCGACTCCGGTTACCCCGCCTACCTGGGAGCCCGACTGGCTTCCTTCTACGAGCGTGCCGGCCGTGTGAAGTGCCTGGGTAACCCCGACAGGGAGGGCTCCGTGTCCATTGTGGGTGCCGTATCCCCGCCCGGAGGTGACTTCTCCGACCCTGTAACGGCGGCCACGCTGGGTATCGTGCAAGTGTTCTGGGGTCTGGACAAGAAGCTGGCGCAGCGCAAGCACTTCCCCGCCATCAACTGGCTCATCTCCTACAGCAAGTACATGCGAGCGCTCGACGACTTCTATGAGAAGAACTACGCCGAGTTCGTGCCCCTCAGGACTAAGGTAAGCATCACTCAACCAAGTGTTCATATCTTCAAAATATTGATATGGTATTACAGTTTTTTAATTTTTGTTTTGTGCCCCACTAGGTCAAGGAGATCCTGCAGGAAGAAGAGGATCTCTCAGAAATCGTGCAGCTGGTCGGTAAGGCGTCCCTTGCCGAAACCGACAAAATCACCCTCGAGGTCGCTAAGCTGCTTAAAGACGACTTCTTGCAACAAAACAGGTAATTGACTTGCAATATCAATATGAAGTTAGTTGTTGATTTACTTTATGAAAAGGATCTGTTATTAATCAGTTAATGCTAAATGAATGATACAAGCATTAATTTGTATTGTCTGTCTCCTGCAGCTACTCGTCATACGATCGTTTCTGTCCGTTCTACAAGACCGTGGGCATGCTGAAGAACATCATCGCTTTCTACGACATGTCCCGACACGCCGTGGAGTCCACCGCTCAGTCCGACAACAAGGTCACCTGGAACGTGATCCGTGACGCCATGGGCAACATTCTGTACCAGCTCTCCTCCATGAAGTTCAAGGACCCCGTGAAAGAAGGCGAGGCTAAGATCAAGGCTGATTTCGACCAACTCTTAGAAGACATGGCGGCCGCCTTCCGCAACCTCGAGGACTAAGCCCCCCCCCTCCCCTGGCCGCGACCACCGCACCCCGCACACGCCTGCCTCTACTTAACGTTAGGAGATTGAAACTACTGGCGTGGTCGCTCTAATTATATCATAGTCGACATCGCTACGCGAAAGCGTATTGTTAATACACTAAATAGACATAAATAAATGTGTTGAAGTCTACGTAGTGTGAATAGGTTTAATTATATTATTACTCGTATTTCAATGCAGAATTCGTAATTCCAATTGTTGAAATGAAAGGAACGCCGCGCGGCAGGTCGCCGGACAACCCGCTCCATTTGTAAATACACGAACAAATGCCGGCGGGCCGCCGCGCCATCGTTCGCAGTTAATTAGTTGTTATTTATATAAAAATATATACATACTATTTATACACTAACAATGAATTATTTTACGCCCGTTTGAACTTCGCGTGTTAAACAAATCATAATATCGAGTACCCTCTTGCATTCCACGTTATTATTAGACTTTAATCGAAGTAACATGTTTTTGTTGAAAAAAATAAAAGCAACAGTTTTTTTACGCTTTTCGTGTCTCGATATCAGTGTTACCAGCATTTTGATGTACCGGAAATGTATAAGAGTTCAGTATTATGTTTACTTTGATAGTTCTCGCTGCATTAGCTAGCGGCGTGTCTTGTACAAAAAATCATGCGCTATAATAACGTATAATTACTTGCTGTTTGAACCTTTGTGAAGTTACGTGTTGAGGAGACGAAAGTTATAAATAAATACAATAAAGTGTACGCAATGCTGTTTCATTTCCCATTTATAGCTGAAGCCGACGACTTTCAGATTTAGATTTTTATTTACAATACTTTAGTAAGTTAACACACTGGTCTGTTAATAAAACCTTGATGAACTGACTGTAATCAAGCTCAATTTTTTCAGATTTTAGTCTAGAGCTTGGTTTAAAACAGTACATTGTTGACTGTGCGACCTACAGATATTGACCAAAACAATCCTGAGATTTGTTTAGGACCCGAAAATTATTATAGGTTGTTGTTATTAGTGAACAATGATGATGATTTTGGTGACAATGATGATGATGATCTTTAGATCTAGCAGTAATCACTTAACGTAGGAATCAAAGATTACCTACATGTATAGGATAGGAATGCTTATCGACTATCTAAGTGTACTTGACTGCCCCTTCTTTGGGTTCGTGTCCATCTTTGTGAAATTCAAATAAGTTTCTGCGACCATTCTTTTTTAAATAGGTAACATTGGTCTGACTGGCACACAATATTTCTTCTAACAAATTGTTTAAAATACTACGTTCTGTCTCCTACTAAGTGACAACTGGTGACAACGAATCAAAGCGAAACGACCAAAGAACTTCCACAAAGAATTTTGATATTTTGATACTATTTATGAAGTTTTGTTTAACTGCGCGATGTTTTAAAGTTATCCATTTATTTGTTAAGTTTGCTTATATAACTTCGTAAACATCATGCAGCGACGCAGAAAAAGATTTGACGAGCCCACGATGAGTGACAAAACTTTGCTCTTGAATGTCGAGGACCTCATCAACACGGCGTTTGGCACCGCCGACGTAAGAACTTACAAATGTGATCTAATTACCTACCTACGTTATATCTAAACCTAGATATTTACTCAATGCGTAGTTAGCTAGCAATTTGGCAGTGTGGTCCGTCTATAATTTTACGGAATAAAATAGTACCTAACGAAACAGGACGAGCTTCAGGTTCTATTTCTGGATCGGGTAAAATTTTATTAGACATTTAGGTCAGACTTACTGACAAAACGCCCCCGTTCTTTCTCCTGCTCCAGGCGGACGCCTTAGTTTAGTACCTTATTGCGCTTTCCCCGCAAGTTCGGCTGACCATCGGCCCCGTTTGGCCTCCTCTGTCGTGCGTCGTCTATTCTGTATAGTCTGGTTATGGTCAGCGGAGAAGAGTTTTGGTTGAACGGCTATAGATACGATGAAAGTTGGTTTCTGTAATTGGTCGGCAAACGAGCAGACGGATTACCTGATGGTAAGCAATCAGCGCCGCCCATGGACACCCGCAACGGAGGAGTTACGAGTGCGTTGTCGACCTTTTAGGGATTAGGAATTTGGAGATTTAGGGATTGAGGAGGGATTGGGGGCGGGGAAGGATTGGGCCTCCGGTTTCAGCGTAGTTCGGCGATTTCTAGTGATATTTTTTATCTATTTGTTTTGTTAATATTTTCGTGGACTTATTGGATTTATCTTGTTTGCAACTCGACTCAATGAAATGCACCATCATGTGTAGCTAGTCCAACGACGACTCGGTGTTGACGGAGATTACGGCGCGAACTTGGGCAGTTGATGACCTTGGGTGCTTCATCTAAAAAGAGCTTACCGCCCAAGTCTCTCATTTTGCGGATTAGCTGGCTTGCTCTGCTGTGGTCGATATTGAGTCCGCTGATTTTAGGTTTTTTTGTAGCTGCTGATGGTCAGATTCTTGGTATGGGCAGATGACGTTTTCTTTGAGTGTGATGTAGGCCTACTTGCCGGCGACCAGCAAAATAGTAGAATGATTCCTGGTTTTATGGCCTCATTATCCCTCAGTCTCGCTTGGAACTAGCTGAAAGCAGGGATAATAATTAAATATTGTAAGTAGGTAATTCTTTAATTGTGTAGATATCTCTTCCATAATCAGATGCTTTTTCAGAAATACACACGAAAAGAGAATGTTTGCTTAGGTTAGGTTAGTACCTACTTTAAAAATTAGTTAGGAAATAATTATTACCTATGTAATTTGCAACTATTTATTCGTGTCTGGGATGAGGTCGGACCTACTTACCTACTGTTTGCCGGAGATGCGTTTGTAGGTATATTTTAATAAAAACATTGAATCCCAATTTGCCTTAGTCTCGATTTCGATAATTCTTTAATGCTGCGTTTGCTACAACCAGGACTCATCAAATTTTACCTCTTTATAATATTAGTATAGCAGTAGGTATAGGTAAAATTTGTAAGTTTGTATGTAGGGGGTAATCTTTGGAACCGCTGGTCGGATTGCCAAATTTCTTTCACTGATAAATAGCTACAATATTCCTGAGTGCTATAGGCTATAAAATATCTCGCTAAGGTTAAAAGGAGCTGAGCAGCGGGTGAAACCGCGCGAGAGTAGCTATAGTAAGTACTTATTTATAGCGTCATACCTACCTACATTCTGGTAGGTAGATAACTTAAACGTAGAAAGATCTTCTGCATGATAAGTAGGTACCGTACCTATACATATTTTTTTTATAAGTATTTAAAAGTTTGAGATTACGTCGGGGTCACCAACTCGCCTGGTCGGAGGAATCCTCCTTTTTCAATGGAGGATGAGGAACTTTCTATCCCTGTTCCCTCATACCTCTAAATATTCAATAAAATTGTAGAAAAAATTAAATGTTAGGGAAAATATTTAGTTATAATTCCGCGACAAAAATTTGTCGCGGAATTATAACTAAATATTTTCCCTAACATTTAATGTCATGGATTTCCGCAAAGTAACGCCTGATTCTATAAAAAATTAAAATTGTAGAAATCATAGGCGGCATCTGGGAAAGAACTAGGTAGCCTTTCGGTGTTATAGGGGTTCGTTATCAAAACGTACAAGTGACGCAGTTGGACATCCGGGTGAAGCAGGGACGGGCAGCCAGTTTATATTAAGTACTTTAAACAAGGATAGTTATGTTAGAAGGCAAGATGATATAAGGAATATATGTTATAGGTACATATTAATTCGATGTACATTATTCTGTTTTAATTGTGCCTGTGAAACGACCAACCCTTTACAATAAATCTTTATCGCATGACGCTGTAAAAGTAGTTCCTTTACCTAACTTAACCACTGTATAAGCAAACTAGGGAGGTTGAGGACCTTACTCGTTCATAGGTTATTTTGAAACCAAATTAATGTGTCATACCTAGTGTGTATGTGAGTGATCTTCCCCTTTTTATTTTATGTTTTATTTTAATAAATACCATTAAAGATAACATTTAATCTTTTCAGAGAAATGTAGTCAACTTTAAAATGATTCAAGCTATATTGCACATTTTGGCACGTCAGATGCGTCTACTTGAACAAGAAGTTGTGATTCAGATTGATGAACTCGGTCTTGAGGATGACGTATCGGAAGACAGAGATGGCCGTGGTAGGGATCGTGGCGGGGGTCATGGCAGAGATAGAGATAAAGACCGAGGTGGAGATAGAGGGGTTAGTCATGGAAGGGGTAGGGATAAAGACCGAAGTGGTGAGAGAGTAGGTAGACGTGGCAGAGAAAGGGATGACGATCAACGTGGAGAGAGAAAGGAAGAGCGTCATAGAAGTAGAACCAAAGGCGGTGATCGGAGTGGAGAGAGAGGTGGTGATCGGAGTGGAGAGCGAGGTGGTGATCGGAGTGGAGAGAGAGGTGGTGATCGTAGCGGGGATAGAGAATCAGGTCGTAGTCGAGATAGACGAGGAGGACGAGATGAAGATACAGGCGGTGACAGAGAACGGGGTCGTGCTGAAGATAGAGGTAAGGGTCGTAGTGGAGAAACTGAAAGTGAAAGTAGAGGAAAAGGGGGAGGAGGAGGAGGAGGTAAAAGCGGAGGAGAAAGAGTTGGTGGCAAAGGAGGCGGGCGAGAAGGCGGAAGAGATGAATATATGGATCGAGGTGGGCGTGCTGAAGATGGAGGAGGAAGAGGAGGGGATCGTGGCAGTGGCAGAGAAAGGGGCGGTGGGCACAGCGCTGACAGAGAAGGTCACGGGGGAGAAAGAGGCAGCGCTCAAAGCGGCAAGAGAGAATACGATAAGGGTGGTGAAAGAGGCAGTAGCGGTCGCGGAGAGGATAGAGGAGGAGACAGAGGTGTAGATAAGCGAGGGGAGAGGGGAACACAGCGAGAAGATACAGAAGACTCTCGCAGTAGACAGAGAAGTCCTCGTTCGGGAGACAGAGCAGGCGATCGATATGATGAACATGGGCAAAGGGATGAGTATCACGATAGAACGACAGGCGAAGGGAGGAGACATCCCGATCGTGGGGGTGAGAGTGAAATAAGTTCAAGTTATAATGTGAAAGGAAGTGAAAAGCAAGGGAGGGGCGGCGACCGCGGAGGACAGGTGAGACAGGGACATGGTGGCGAAGCGGCAATGGACAGTGGTGCACGCACCGCTGAAGGAAGAGCAGCAGAAGGGGAAAGAAAGAAGGGGAAGAAAGCCGAGCGCATCAAAGGACAAAGAAGAGGAACTCTTTCAGAATCAGATACGGTAATATTATAGTTCGCTTATTTTTCTTGTAATTTTAGAGAATATAAGTGTCTTTGCTATTTGTATTCCATTTATCTTTTTAACATAACGTTTTTTTTTCGATTTCCTGGAGTTTTGCCTATTATATTTATTTATTTATACACTTTATACATGAAATCTACAGCTTAGGCATTGTCTAACAGTCGACCTTCAAGGGATGGAGAGATGAGAGTGGTATTACACCTCTTTATTTGCCTTATTGATCCAGCGTTCGAGACGATTTGGTTGCAATTACCTTATTGGGTTATTAATTTACGTTTAGCTCGCTGTTTGTTCTATTGTATATTTCATAATATATGGTATTGCACAATAGCCTTCAAATTAGGTAATCATTAGTCTCATATAATAAAATGTCTTTAATATTTCAGTCTCTTGGAAGAATGCCTGGCTCTCGTACCAACATCAATGTAACAGGTAATTAATTAAAAGTAACTGTTTTAGGTTATACTTCTGCTTGGCTTTATGATTATATCAGGTTTTGCACAATAAAACATAACAGATTTTTGGTGATATACAGGTTTGTAAGCAATTGAACAACCAATGACACACGCAACATTATAGAAGTTATGAGTGTGTTCCCAGTCTTTTGGGGGTTAGTACTACGGGAATTTGGGGATAGGGGGAGAGAAGGTGTGGGTCTCCGGTAACCTCACTTACACGGGGAAAGCCACACAACGCTCTGTGTTGGTTTGTTGGTTTCACCCCAGTTTTCTGTGAGGCCGAGTATCACTTCGCTGACCGCGACTGCGCTGACCCATTCGTGCCGAAGCATGACTCTCCCACATTGTGAATTGTTTACTTGTATTATTCTTTGATATACCAGTCTTACGTATTTACGAACTTAAGTCGGTTCACGAACATCGTGAACCAACCTTCGTGCCTCTACAAGCAAACATTAAGGCATTGACAAATTATAACACACCGAACACATGCCGTTTTGGTTAAATTATAAATTACGTAAAGTAAAATTATTTTGCAATATTTTATTGATTTAGATAATAATTTGTTGTTTTAGAAACGACACGTAGAGGTAAAAAAGGAGGCGAAGAGAAACTATTAGTAGGTAATTATTAAATAGAACATGATGATTTTATTTTATTTTACAAATATAATAACACAAATACCTATAAATATTATTTTTTACATTCTTTTGCAGTGGGAAAAGGTCAAAGTACGGGTAAGTAAATAAAAACTTTTAACTAGTTGGTTTGAGAAAAAAAAGTGAAATGAAAAATAATAAGGTACATGAGGGTATTAAGGCCTAGCTAAGGGAAATTTGTTGTAAAATCAAAACTGGTAGCAGTAGCAGAATCAACAAGTTTTATTCTTTAATCGGTCGTTTATTTAGGCAACTACAAAACTATAACAAAAAAATAGCAACTTCTGCATGAAACCTAAACAATATTTAACATTTTTTTAAACGCTCTTAATAGGCCTTATTATAATTCGGTAGGGTAACAAGGCCTGCTTCTTTAACTATGCAATTAATCAACTAAAATAACATAATTTGGTATTTGATATCAATCATTATCCAGTCAATGGCAGAATAATACTTTAGAATTAAATGAGTAGCCTCATCTAACATCCACCACGGCATACGAAGTCATCATAATCATCCACTGATAAACCAACACACTCCTCATGATACCACTTGGGGCATTGAGAGCACTGCCTCATGTCATCCATACTGTGTACTGTGAATGTAAAGAAAACATAGGGTGTCATGAAGAAAACCGTATGTTTTCTTCATAGGCATGGCAATACCAACTCGCTTGAGTGCCTTCAGTGTCCTTGGTTCGATCAGATCCGCGAAAAGACTTTGTTTTAATTGCTCTTAAAGGTGTTTGAAGGTTAGAATTTCCTAGATCCCTTGGTTTTCTTCTTCTTCTGAATTTGTATTTTTATTCCCTGCATAGCTTTTCTTACATTCATTAAATTTATCAAAACGATCTTTGTTCACTGGAGTACCCCGAAAATTAATAGCCTATAATTCTTTTTCTAGTCGTGCAAGTGGAAGACGATGTCTTCAGAGGAAATGCCATAAATTAGTCATCTTTTGATCACAATGCTCGCTTAGGAAGCATCGTGAACGGAGGAACTGTGAATAATGTATGATATACCTATTGAAATAATTTGAAAATAATGCAAACATTGAAGAATATATATCTATAAGTATAATAAGGCCTACTATAAAATTTTATAGGCCTTATTACCCATAGGTTAGGTATTTATGGAAAACGAAATAAATACAATTTGGACTGTAGAACGTTAATAAATAAGGCAATGTGGGACGAGCATGAGTTAACGATAATACAGACAGTAAGTGCAAGGAGATAAGTGTAATAATTTAAGAAATATTTATGTTTAACCGGAGCCAATATTTGTAAAAACGTGACGTGCGGCTACTTTTGACAACGTTTAAGACGCCATTAGCGAGAGCGAGTGTGGTAGCCAACACTTGCTGCATGGTGGCGCCTTTTACGTGTAATATACATGTATGTGCGTGAGGTTGAGCACAAAGTCGTATTCTAAGCAAGATTTTTAATGTTTAGGCCTTATTAGCCGACAGGCTTTAATACCCGCATGTACCTTACATACCAATATCGTATATTTTTTTATTTTTTTTACTTGCAATAAACTTGAGTTTGACTGCGATCCCACCTGATGGTAAGCAGTGATGCAATCGTTGATGGTAAGGCGCACTAGTTTATTCCTTTTTCTTCCGTATCTGGTTCCTAATTGTTTTGGCACATTGCACTTACAATTTCACACCCATATGACTCCAGGAAGCCGCGTACCACGCGTAGGTAGCATCGAAGTGGTGACTGCCTCTCAGTTTGCGTTACTCGAGAGAGCTGTCCGCGAGCTGCAGAAGATAGCCGGCCCTCTGCCAACACCAGCGCTGCCGGACAACCAGCGGTTGAGAGAAGACCTGGCCAAAGGCACTGCCTCACTCACTGATACCATGAAAGCTATGCAGGTATACAACATTATTAGAAGTTCTTCATGGTGTTGCTTATACATAAACTTGAATACACTCAGATTTAATTGTCCCGAATGGCTGTTCCCGCTATATATAATATCTAAAAATAAATAAAAAAAATTTTCAAGAAATAAATATACCCTTTTAAATCTATTTCTAATGCTTAGCGACAATATTAATAATCCTGCGAATACATTAGTTTTTTATTGTATCTCTTCGTTACATAAACATAATACATTTTTTTTTTATTATATTGGTTCATGTGTTGGCACATTGATGATGAACAGATTTAATCTTCCGTAGTTGCATGCTCGCGTGGATGCTGCTGAGCAAGGTCTGACCCAGATGGCGGGCTTACTGACGCAACTCGCGGCGATGGGCGCGTTGCCCAGTGAAATGGTTGCTCGCATCGGGGAAATGCAACACGGTCAGTGGGCAGGGCAAGGACCAGGCCAGCATGCGCCATTTGCTGGACACTCACCTGAACAAGCTTACGGATATCATGGGCAATTTCCAACACATAGAGGGCCGACCTCTCCACACGGCACCCAGGGAGAAATGGCCGCGGGACATACTGGTGGGGGCGCATATCCTCCAGACATGAGAACTCAAGGCCATACTGGACCGCCACAGAGTACGGCGACGAGTATGTTATCCCGGGGGCAAGGTGCCAGCGCGGTGAGTATTTTGTTTAGTGTCTTTTTTGAGAAACGGTGCCCTACGTTAGGTGTATCTCATCACTCGTACCGAGAGAAATAAGTTCTTCTTTTATTCGCATTTTGAATTATTAGTCCTCGCTCGTCGACTAATTAAATATGATCTAACACACCACAACACATTTCTACATAGTTTTTCTTACAACGCCAGCCAGAGAGTGTCAGCACTCTTTCATTTCAGAAGCCAGGGGCCATAGATCCCGCCACTGGCTTGCCGAGGACCGCCAGGGGTTCAGTAGATGGAGGTGGCTGGGCTTCAGATCCGACTGTAGCGTATAGACCCGTCACACATGCTGAGATGGAGTAAGTGATATTCTAACATTGTTACTGTAATTAGCAAGTTGGTTAGGTTCTTTAAATTTTCCTAATGTCCATAAAGATGTTGTCTTCTTAGAATATTTTACATACATTGATATTACAATATTAAAATTTTTATCCCCCCGGTACGGAGTGACCGATTGACCGATAGACAGACATTGCAGTCGAAACTATTCATTCCCATAGTGACGGTCTTTAAGAGATTCGTCGACATGACTGCGCGGTTGGTGCGGTGGGGCAACTGGCTGCCGTGCAACGCGTCACGGATTGGGTTCCCGCACAACTCTTTGTGTAATCCATAAATTGTTGTTCCGGGTTTGGGTGTCATGTGTATGTGAAATTGTATGTTTGTAACCGCACCCACGGCGCTAAGTTTTTTTAAAAAAAAAAAGACAAAGCCCTTAAATTTTAATACTGTTGAATATACTATCGTTAGTGTCCATAGTGGAATGTATACCATCCAGATGACCCGTCTGCGCGTTTGCCGCCCTATGGCAAAAAAAGACTAAAGACAAGTCAATTTACTTTTAGAAATGCTCTGCTGAACATTAAAGAAGAGCTCCAGAAAGCTATAAGTACTATGACAGCTCGAGCCACACATTCAGCAGACGTGGCGGCCAATACTTCCAAGAATGTCGGTAAAGCATTCTTTATGAAACATATTTTTTTTGGACATTAACATATATATACTGTGAGGTCATATTTTGAAGACTGTGTCAGTAGATATACAAATGTCTGTTTATTTTTCCAGCGGAAAAACTGGATTTGGCTTTAGCAATCGACAAACGGATCAGCAAGTTAGCATCTCAAGCTATTGATTACTCCTCACAGCTCAGTGGCTTCGATTCCGGCCTCGCAACTCAGGTACCTACATTTATGCTTACATGAAAGAAGTTTCGGTATTTTTTTTTCGATAACTATCGTAAAATTTTCTTCTAATTAATTAAATATAGGCTATGCTAGGCTCCCTCACGTCAACTAGTCGAGAGAGGCTCTACAAGTTTCAAGTCACACCGGGGATCATACATATTTAGGAGCAGGCAGCATCCGTGCCGCGGTAATATTACATAAAGTCAATTCAAAACATTTATTCCCATTAAACCATAAACTGGTATTTTTTAAACGTCGCTTTATAAGAACAAATTGTTGAAGAAAAAAAAGTACCGATGTTATAAATTTGTCATCATTAAATTTTAAATCCTTTATTGTCTCGACCGTGGCGCTCACATATGCATTCTTCAAATTCAAACTCTTTATTTCAGTAGTAGAACAAATTTTGATTACATAATCGAATCAAAGTGTGCATTAATTCTTAGAATTTGAGTAATTACACACTCCAAAGTAAATTGCCGAACGAAAGAATGACGTGAAAATAACTGAAATAGACAAGTCTTGCTTTACTTACGCCTGTGAGCTCTCTTATCGGTGTAACTGAGCTTAGATTTCCCGAAAGGGTTTTTATGTGGAAACCTCATAATAACCCTACAAGTACTACTTTGTGTCTATTCTTAATTTAATATCTTCATTGTTTTTTTCCTGTACAGCGGTATGCTAGAAGTATGGAGCCGTAGTTTTTTTATGGAATAAGTCGGCAAATGGGTTATAGGATAACCTGATGGTAAGCAATCGACGTCGTCCATGGACACCCGCAACACTAACGGAGTTACGAGGGCGTTGTCGGCCTTTTGGGGATAAGGGTTGCGGATAGGCGAGGGGAGGCATTGGGCCTCCGGTAACCTCAATCACACAAACAACAACAAAACACAATGCGGTAGTTGTGTTACGCCAGTTTTCTGTGAGGCCATGGTATCACTCTGGTCGAGCCGACCCATTCGTGCCGAAGCTTGGCTCTCCCATACGTAAAACTATACGGTATTTTATTAAGTCCTTAAATGAGTTACAATCAATGATGGTGATATTTTCTTCAGATGGCCAGTTTCCAGGAACAGATGGCGCAGATAAAGAGGGAGCTGAAGGAAGGGCTCGGCAGGCTCGAGCACGTCACTGCCAACGCTGAGTCTGCTGGTTGGTATTTCAACGAGAATACTTATAAATGTTGACTAAATCAATCGCAAACTGAATTGTGTGACTCTCTCATTACAACTATTGAAAAGCCGCTCTTCTCACACGCTGTAGTATCAAGCACAAAACCCCATGACGTAGCGCAACACCGCGGCCTCAGCGCACTGTTGCAAAGCAGGAGAAGAATCGGGGGTTTTTAGTCAGTAAGAGTCTGACACTCCCTCACCCTGGACGGGAAAAGTCATTTGATATTTTTTTCCCTACCAAAAAAAGTAAATGAGTTAGGCATGCTCAATTTACGTACTCAATTTACAATTGGCGTCGCCCGTGAGCACCCGAATGTAGGAGTCACAAGTGCTATGTCGGTCTTTTGAGGTTGGTTAAGAATTGGAGGGCTGGGAACATAGGGATTGAAATATGAATTTAGGGAAAGTTCAGGCCTTTGGCGCGTTTAGCCAGCGGTAACCTCACTCACAAGGCGAAACACGACGCTTGCTTTGTTTCACGCTGATTTTCTGTGAGGCCGTGGTATGATTTGTATCGAGCCGGTCCATTCGTGCCAAAGCATGGTTCTGTCACACCTTTTGATTTTGATGATACACGTTACAGCTCTGACGGACCTGATGGAGCGCTACCAGATCCTGGTGGTCGAGCTGGAGCACACGCTCCAAACACACAAGGGCCTCACCGTGTTACAGAATCAGCTCGATGGTGAACTGCGAGTGAGTTGTGTATTTAAATATCAAAAATATTTCGAGAAGAAAAGAAAAATATTTTTTTTTCACATTAGTGATTGATTTACTAGCTCAACATATGTCGAGTACAATCTTCCACGATCCTTTAAATCAATGCAGCTAATATTCTATTTTACATAAGTAAATATTAAGTCCGTGAGTTGGCGAGTCTCCACTTACATTTTTACGTGTATCTTGCCTTTCCATACCTCCTTTCATACATATATCTCTAGCAACCGACACACCCATAGCTTTAATTTTGTTCATTATCCGCAATAGACCTACACTAAACAGGGACTGTCCTTGGGTGCATTTCCATAGTTCCTTCAGGGATAGTCGCCGGTTTATGTCCCATTTTATTCAGATTAAAGTTGTCTTAAGGGCCTCTACGAAGTTGGCTTCGGCATACGCCTCCCAAATGACGGGGACCCTGTAGTCCAGTGATTGGTAAAAACATACAAAATAATATAAATAAAAAGTTTATTTCAGACTTTAAATGACATGCCCATAGCTCTATTAATAATATTGTTTTAGTAACAAGAGTATCTAAATAATTAGGTTAGTATAGTTAGAAGTTTTTACTTTCTATTTATTTATATTTATGACTGTAGCCACCACCAGTGTCTTTGTACAGTCTGGTAGATAATACGACAGTCGAATTTGGACTTTTATTTATAACTAGCTAATCTCGCACGGTGTTCGGCTCCTACATATCGTAGCGTGATGTTTTATAGCCTAAGCCTTCCTCAATAAACGAACTAACGAACACAAAAAGAATTATTCAATTCAAACCAGTCGTTTCGGAGATTAGTGCGTTCAAACAAACAAACTCTTCAATTTTATATAAAATATAATAATAATAATATATAATAAAATAGTATAGATACAAATTATAGAGATTATTGTCCAATTTTAAAAATTTCGAATAATGTACACATTCATTTAATATTTGCAGAGTCTTGTGGAGTGCGTTGAAATGCTTCGAGAACAGAAAGCTGATAGAGATGAAGTGTTTGATGGCCTCAGGGATAAGGTAACGTTAGGTCAGGTTTATTGGACAAAACTATTGTTAAACTATCTTAGACAGTGGCTGGACTACTTGTTGCTATCTGCAACGTGATGCGGTTTCGATTCCAACTCGAAATAACTCTGTGTGAGTCACAAACCGTAGTGGTCCTGGGATGTGTATGTCTGTAAAAGTACCCACGGCAAAGGAGACAATCCTAGTGGGGCAACGTTTTCAAACTATCTATATCTATGATCTAGTTGTAGCAGTTAATTTCGAAAGTAATTCTTTCTGTTTTGTTCGCCAGGCTGACATCTGTCGGTTGAATGGTCTGCTACACGAGGAGGACTTCGAGCACGCGCGCACTGTACTAGAGAACGAACTGAAGCTCTGTTACGAGAAATTCAAGAAACAGGATCACATGTGGATGGTCAGCATTAAACTTTTACACTACAAATTTAAGAAGCAGCGAAAATCTTTTCCATTGACCTACAAGCCTTCACATAATAACTTGCAATTTTTCATTTAAAAAAAAATACGAAATTAAACTACTTCTGTTCCTACAACAGACGGCGCTCAAAGACTTGAAAGCCATGGCAGGAAGCAAGGCAGAGATAATTCAACTGATGGCGCTAAAGGACTCCGCCACCGAGGAACTGAGGTCTATTCAGGCGCAGTTGAGGGAGCTGTACATCATGCTTGGAGAACCAAAGGTTTTAATCTATTGGACATTCTCATCGAATTTTAATTGTTTCTGGTAAAGTTATCCCACCTTTTCGATATATATATCCAGCTGTAAGGACAGCAGCGTCCTCTTCATTTTCGGTATTGCACAATGGCGGACTAAATTTGTCCAGCAGTTCGTTCATGATATTCTGCGAACAGTACCAGACCCAAACGAACGGCGCTTAGCGTTCCGCGCGCACCTCTAAGTTTCATCGGTCAGCTCTGTTTAACACCACCACAGATAGTGTTATACAGGGCTGATATTCAGCCGAGGTTGCGGTACAAGCATATTCATGTACGCCAGCCCCAGCCTGGAGCAGGAGAAGGAACTAAGTAGTTTTAAGTCAGTTCTTATATGATACTCCTTTCAGAGTGAAATCATTAGATTTTACGGTCTCCAAAAAAAGTGAGCGCATGACATGTACTTTGTACGTTATTAGTAGAGCTTTATTGTCGCCAACTGTAACCGTGTTCGTGGTACAGGCGGCGATACTGATGCGCATGCTGGCGAAGAACGCAGCCTGCGCAGCGTGCCTCACTCCGGCACTCATGGAACCGACAGACCCGAACTACGCCAAGCCCTTCGTCATGCCCGCGTTCCGGCCACCGCCGCTCGGGGAGGAGGAACCATGCGTTGCCAAGCCCCAACCGCAGATGCCGGCTGATGTCAGGTGTGTAGCTGGGACGTCGATGTCACTGAGCAGTAGCAGTTTATATTAGGGATAATTTTAGTATCGGTTATTAGATTTTTTGAGGACTTGATAAGTAAAACGTTAACAAATTTGACGGCACGGTTGACGCAGGGGCTGAGAAACCAGCTACTGCGCAATGTGCCGCGGGTTCAAGTGCCACGCGAAACAACTCTTTGTGTGATTCACCTGCTTGTGAACGTAGCCCCAAAAATAGTAGTGTAGGCCCATATTTTCATAATATTATCAGGCACTAGTTTCTCGTCAGAAGATATAATTATAATAGTATAGTCCACGCTGATCCTGAGCGGGACGCCTTTAACAATAGTATGTTGATGGTCCAAGAATGAGAGAATGTGTCGCAGGACGCACGTGTGCCGGCGCTGGGCGGGGGGCTCCCACACGCTGGTGGCCGACCACGTCACGCGCGAGCGCGCCGCCCCCCCTGACCTGCACGGCCCCCCCACCAAACGATACACTGGCTACGGCACCGATGGAAGGGTCAGTCATCACACAATTTTCCAGTTTAATTCTCTAATATAGGTAGGAGGAGGCGATGACCAGGAAATATAAATAAAAATAGTAATAAACTATTGGACAAGAAACGTCAGTAATAAAATTGATTTTAATGCCCTAAATTAGCCCTTATTTTAGCGAAACTGCTTCTCAGTTGTATGGAAATGGTTTTAGTATTTGAACTCTAGATTAACTCACCTATACTTGTCCAGTTATACATGTTGGAGGAAGAGCTACAGCCATGTTTGGAGTGTAACAAGCTGGACTCAGGGGACCTGCAGCAGACTGAGCGAGTGGTAGCTGTCGAACCAAAACCCTCGCCTAATGTGGGCGCCGGAGACCAGGTCGTGGCTGGTAACGAAAAAGAAAAGGAAGACAAGGAGGAGAAGGAGAAATAAAAGGAGAAAAATAAATAGAAAAAGTATGAAAAAGAGGGTGAAGGTACACAGGTACATGTAGATATAACATTAAATGGAAATACATTCCTGGTAATTCCATGACTGCGCCGTACATTTCTCACGTACAACGCCGCCCATGCCCAGTTACAAGATGCTTGCAAGCGGTTAAATTAATAGATATGTATTATTATTGCACCCCATACTAAATGTATTGATAATAACGACTTATGTGCATTGACTGAGAAAGACTCTTCTAGTTTTAGGTCACAACGGGGCTCATATTCATAAGCATCGTGATTGTGATCGTGATGGGCGTGCATCGTGAGTCCCGTGTGAATTGAAACTATATACTAAACTAGTAGAGGCCTTCTCAGTTAATAAATGTGAGTAAGTAGTTGCATTAAAAAAATTAGGTGGTGGATTTATGATTGTATTTAAATTCCATGGCTTGATTGAGCCGGACTAACGATTTTTTCTTAAAAGCCCATTCATTGCCTCTTGCATGCGATTTTTGTCTGTAGCGTTGGTAAAAGATACAGTGACTGTACTAGACTATGGCGTGAGAGAGACTTCTTTAGAGCAGTATTATCCAAAACTTTTGTGTTTCATACTAAATTTGTTGATAATAATGACTTTAGTCACGTGAATTAATTAATTGAGAAAAGTCCTATTAGTTTCAAGTCTCAACGGGACCCTCATGAGTATCGTACGCGTCTTGACGACGTTGCGCAGCCGAATGAGTCCGATCATGCGGTAGAGCTTTTCTCAATAAATTCACTTCATTGTGAAGTAGAAAAACAAATGTATTATTTATTATTGTTCAATATTTTTCTTACTTGAGCATTTCTTATCAATAGTTTGGTTTTGGGGGGGCCCCATTCGTATTTTTTTTAGATGGTGTGACTTAATATGATACTAATTATGTATAAAGTAATAAGTTTCTTTTCCCCCCTTTTCCGCCAGCTTGTTAGGCGGTGTTTATATTTTCTGAAAGATCTATCCATCCATGGTCCATATGAATAGACGCAGGACTTGGTAATTGGTATCATAGTTAAGAGTTTTATATGCCATAAATAATATACAGTTATAAATAAATTTCATATTTTTTATTTAATTCGTACAAAAATAAATAAATAATTTATATTGTTTGTAAAAGCATTATGTACAACTTACAGCGCCATCTAATAAATAAAATCTTAATAATGTAATGCGTGTTTATAGAGTGATTCATAAATATTAAATAAATTATCGACGGTGAAATTTTTGCAAATATTTCGTAGTACTGTATACTTGTGCGAAACAAATATTTAATAAGATTAGTCAAATAGCTGTGCATTTTACATTTCAGCGTCGATTGTAATAATTTAAAGTCGATTAAATAAGTTTAAAATAATTTATCTAAAATAAATATTAATTTACGAGACAGTTGCCGTTTGACAAAATGAATTATTTGGTAACAATAAATACGTTGGTTGTGTGTAGTCGCCAGGTGATGTACATGACGTGTGTATGTGTGTGTGTGTGTGTAGTTAGCACAGAGATGTAGGAACGACTCGTTATATGGCTGATGGCGTATAGTCATTCGTAAAGCTTGCCACTCACCGCGCGATTGTATAATCGAGCACGCGATCACCAGTCGCCGCGGTACAGTGAGCTCTATTTACAATAAACGTCACGTGGTTTATTTATGTACACATGCACGACTCATGCCACGTCGCACATAGTTTCTCAAACAAATAAACAGTGACACTCACCCGTGGACCCTAATCAACATGTTATTATGACTAATTACAACTAGAGAATAAATTAAAAATAAATATTTTTTCAATCACCGCACCGGTGACACGCTACGGGTCAGCTCTCGAAGATCTATGTACCAATTTTACAGTTCATCTTATATTTAAATATGACATCTAATAGAAAATATGATACACGAAAATCTTAACGTAGGCTTATCACGTATTTAGTGCGGACTCTGAACCTTGTGTTCTCTGTACACGGTTCAAATTACAATAATTGTACCGCCTTCAATGTTACTTACAAACTGCGAATATTTGCGATGGTTGTGTTAGACAAATCTCATAGACCTTAGTTAATATGCAGGTCTAGATTTATATCTTTAATGTGTAACTACATAATAAAATTTGTAGCTCTCGCTGTCTGTGTAGGTAATGTTTCACTTGTCATTTTAAAATAGTTGCTTTATTTTCACAACTGTTCAAATTTTACTCGGTCCTTTTGGGAATCGATTAAGAGCCTTGTACTCCTTGTATTACATGGCTCTCGAAATAGGTATTGTATCACAAATCGCACACTAGACAAAATCAATGTTCATTAACAGGTCATCGTCAGGAACTAATAGTTCAATTAGCTTGAATGTATGTTTGTGAGTTCCGTGGTTCCTGCAGGAGACGCGAGGCTCCTAGTGCAGGTCACATCGGAAGCGATGGCAGTCGTGGTCTCTGCTGGCTTGCATGACGTCACCGAGCTGGTGGGCGACCACCGCCGCGCTGGTGCTGTCTCCCCGGGAGATGCTGGAATGATACAAGTTTATTGTTATTATAGAAATCTATAAAAATGTTTCGATATGGGCTTTTTAGGTTATGTATTATAAGATTATTGTTAAGATGTTTTTGAACAAAAGGAGCAGTTTTAAATTCCTACAATTATTTACTATATGGATTAAGTTAAATCTAGCAGGGATTTAGCTGGACTGATTGATTATTTTTTGCATTAACTATCGTGAGACTATTAGACGCTAAAATTGTAAATAACGATTTACGTGAATTAATTGAGAAAAACTACAAGTTTCTAGTCCACAACAGGGTTCTTATTCATGCGATGTGCATGTTATGATCGGAAACTGTAGACCTTTTTTAGTAAGTAAATCAAGTTGCACCTAGGTGAACTGATGATGATATTTGCAGGATGGTTTGGATGAAAATAGTTCAAAGAGCTTAATGGCGAGCAATTGGGGAGGCCTATGTTCAACAGTCAATTTGAAATTATGATATTAAAAACTAAGATATTTTTCTTATTAGTTGACTGCAGTTATATAAAAGTAAGGTCGTTAGTCTGTAGGCCACAGCTCGGTAACTACAAACAATGGAGTTTGCTACCTCATCGAGAGTTCCCTTAGCATCAACAGTTACCGGTACTTAAACGTTTCTGAAACAAAGTGCGGTTTACCCCTGACTGAGTCATGGTGTGCGCAGGCGCAACACGCTTTCACGCCGCCATGCTTTATGACTTTGCCGAGAAACTCCTCATTGGCTCTTGTTTGTTCCAAGTTTCTTTTCAACTTTTCGTTTTCCCTTTTAAATTTTTATAATATGTGCTCGGGTGGTCGTAAGTGTCGCGACGTTTACTGTGTTTGAATGTTTTAAAACTATTTACGCAATTGGAAGTCTCTTGTGGTGTACCCTTTTACAGGTTTTTGTATCTAAAGCGAATGGAAAAATACCATTTTTTATAATATAATAACATAACATACTTCTATTATGACTAGATAGATCCCTTCATATTATTTTTCTTCGGAAAAGAAAATGTTCCTGACACTACGATTTCCTCTTGTGCCCTGCATGCAGCATAAGTTCACAAGACAGGTATTACTAAAATACATAGTTATTTCGTTTGGTAATCAAAGATACATACACATACATGCACATTTCCTATGTCGAATATCTTAGGTTAGGTTCAGGTGCTTAACTAAAGGTATGTCTTTTTACATTAAAGATGTCGTAAAAATACATACAAAGATTACTTTATTAAATTAAGGTTAGCAGCTAACATCGTTTTTGTAAAAAAAATACATACAATTCTTGACAATCTCTTGAGATAAACATACCTATGCCAACATTTAGTTGATTATCTAAACCGATAGACCATAATATATTGAGGGGAATTGTTATAAAGAAAGAGGTACTCGTATGTAGCCTATAAAATATATAGAGCTAAATAGCTAATAAGCTAATAATATATTGAGCTTTTTGCGCTGTTTAAAAAGTTACGAGTTACTCCACAACCAGCTCAAAGATCATGGGAAATGCTCGCGTTACTAAAAGAATTCCCAAGGGAAAGTGACGAAACATATTGCCAACTGTTTCTAGTCTTGGCTACGCAATTACGAATAATTAATCGGATGTTAATGTGAGCTGTTGTTGAATCGCATTGAGTTCAAATTCATTACCGATTTTCAAAACTTTGCAAAAAACAAAAAAATTACTTGAACAGTGTTTTATGATTCAGTGTTTTTTGGCAATTAAAAACGATGAACGAAACGAAGTTGTTTCAATGCACTTGTTAGGGACTAATTGTTATTTCGTGTATTTATTTCTTAGGTGTATATATTTGTTTAATACATTGCTCCACACTAGAAATTTCTCCTGTAGCGGAGGTTCGCGTTTATAAACACACAAATTCACTTAGGACAAGCTACACAGACCCGAAACAATAATTTTTGGATCACACGCGACACGTTGCACAGCAGCCAGTATTCCAGCCACTGTGTCAACCAGTATGGCTACAAGAGATAAAGTTTTAACGACATAGTCTAGAGGTTTTGAAATTCTATCTATAGCAGTTGAATCGCTAGATGCGTTATCGGTAGCTGCTACTCTCAGAATACAGCTGTATTCTGAGCTGCTACTAGAGATAAAACATCTAAATGAATGGAACCTTCATCACCATCAATCAATCAATGAATGTTACTTTGACCCTGGAGATGGCTCTCTGAGAAAAAATCCGAAGCGACTGGCGTGTTGGTGGTTGGCTGGTATGATAAATATAATCAATAAGTATTCATAGGCTGGAATCGGTTTCCGTTTCCGACGATGTAATATCTGTGAGGAATGTGGTCGGAACACTTTCACTGTTTCTGAACGCACCTCGTTACGTAACAAATTACGTTTTTTGGCGGCAAGCCGTCTGTGAGCGTGCAGGTGGACAAAAACTGTGGATAATGCCAAAGTAACGGATAAAGTGATTAATTTCTTCACTTGCAATAAATATAAACAAAATTTATCGTGAGAACATGTTTTATATAACTTGTGCTTACTCTGACGATCGTAAAAAATAGCTTGATGTTAACTTTTAGATTTTCAACTATTTTTAAATTCACTCATAGCGATTCCAATAGAGAAACTATAAAAAGCACAAAACGTGATATATAAGAAAAGTAGACCTCGTCTAAGAGTTAAAGTCGTAATTAATGTAAATAAAAGAAATGGATCGAATAGCTTTTTGCAGCTCTTGACACCGAATTCGCAAAGCGACTCTCATCGCTTTTTTATAAGCGCGGCCTCCATCCATCGATCGTGACATAACGGTTATGTGATCTTACGTCACATTCCGCGCGCTGTTCGATATTTGAAGCTTTATTTACACTATGATTTCTCTACTTTTTATTAAGTCTAAGTAGCAAGTAGGTCACATTGAGAGTACCCGGATTTATGGTAAGTAGAAGCTGATTTTTATGTAACATATCATTATCATTATTTAAGTAGATTAATGATATCTTGGTCAAATTACTTCTGCGGTTTGATTCGTTTCTTTTTTGTTATGCAAAAAGTTGGAAAATTGAGCAGCGACGTTATCTAGATGAAATTAGTTTTACATTAGATGTTTTTGAGAAAATGTAACTTTTACTTTTAATGTTGCTTTAAGATAAAATTAAATCTTGTTTAGTTTAAGACTAGAGTGTTTCGGAATAAGTAAGAGTTATAAATTCCTTCACACAAGCGATGTTCTATATATCACCGGGAAACATGCGTGCACTTTCGTGCGGGTAAAATTGACTGCATTCTTAGAGGTGCGATGTCACAATATAAAAGCAAACGACACTCGGCTTATTTGAATAAATTCCTCGACAATTTCTACTCTAGTTTGTTTGCTTGTGATGCGCAGTGCACAGGCTGCATATTAGCAAAACGGTCGTGTTTTGTTGCCGCGCAGGTTACGTGAGGTACGGACGGACGGACGGACGGCGAAAGAGAAAGTGTTCACGTAATGCATGTTAATGTAACCGGTGTTAATGTTTTGACACGTGGCTTAGCGGCGCGACCTAAACAATTGATAACTTCGCGTTTGTTTTTTGTTGTAAAACTTAGCTTTTGGGAGATTACTATATAGGTACATGCAGACCTCATGTAGTACATATTGTCAAACAGTGGACTTTTAAACAGCTGTTGTACGGTTAATTTAGGTAACACGCGTGAACACTTCTTTGGATGGCAAATGGACAAACGTTAAAGACAAAACATCGCGAATGGGTGATAATTATTACTAATATTACAAATGCGAAAGTATTTTAGTTTGTCTTTCTCTCACTTCGTTGCAACCGAGTTTGTATCTTGCTGCAACCGAGTTTGTATCTTGCGATTTTCGGCTCTTTGTATTTATGATGGATGGCGATTGATATAGGCTTCATATGTCGTATGTATTAGATAATGTATCAAAGTATAATTATTAAATAATCCACGTAAGAACATTATTAACCGTTAGTTTATAAGATGGGCCGCATCATCGTTTCATCGCTTTCTCTACAGCCTCGGTTTCTAATAGGATCCTCTCACTCGTATCCTTATGTAATGCAGTCAGGTGACACTGTACCAGGGCACGTAGTGTTTCTGTAGATACAGTTACAGCCAGCAGGACAAACAAAATGTCTTTCTTTGGAACGTGGTTTTGTCATAATGTGTCTTTTCGTGATCATTAACAATTTATATTATTTGAATAACATACGTGTAACGTTAGTCCTAGAATCTACTGGCTTACTCTACAAGTTTTATTAAATGAATATTGTTTGCATTGCTTTCAATAGTTATTTGTACGAATATACTAGTTCTTTGGCATTTACAAAGCTTCACCAGCAAAGGGCCTCGCACAAAGGTCTCGAGTGAATATCGTGACTTATGCAAGATCCTCCTTTGTTGCTTCACCCCACGGCCCACGGCGCGCTACACTTAATGTACTTAATTGTAATAAAATGTTACTTACAGTTTTAATAGCGACTCCATCTTCTTTTCCATCGCGAAGAGTGAATCCGAAGGCTGCGACGTGAGCACCTTACAGAACGTGAACTTGGCACACTGAGAGTCTCTCCAGTCAGTCTGCTTCACCAGGTCCATGGCAGCTGACGTCAGCGACGACGAGCTCGACCCGCCGTCTAAATGCTGCAAGTCATCAGGCAGGTCCTCATTGAGAGATCGTTTGACCACATGTTTCCGCTTCACCCTCCTCAGGCGTGCGCCTTGATAACTTGGTTCTTGGTAGAAATTTAATACATCGCGCTTGGAACGAGTGGCTTCACCGTCCGGTGACATAACCACGTACACGTTCTCGCTCGGCATCTTGTAGTTGTCGTCGTAAACCTTCTGACTGCTCAGTATTTGTCTGTCGATGTCGTAGGGAGAGCCAAACGAGCGCTTGTGCTCCTTCTCGATCTCATCTTGTATGTCTTCTTCGCGAAAGCCAGCGCTGTGCATTAAGTTTACATCTAAAAGTCTTCCCACTGCGACAGCTCCGAGGCCGAGCGCTGCTCCTCCTGCCATTAAGCCTATAGCTGGTAACATAGCGGGGGCGCCTGAAGCTGCTGCAACCACTCCTATCTTGTCTTGAGCATATCTCTGTGTTTGGATCGAGTTTGATGGATACAAACCCAAGTTGGATGAAATTTTTTGAGTAGCTTCTACGATAGGATCAAACACGGGTTGAGCGACTTTAGCAATCGGGTCCATGATGGGTTTGGTGAGTTGCTGAACCGTCTGGCTAGCACTGTTAAATGTGTCCTTCATAGAGTCAGTGAACCTCTTCCACAGGGAGGGTTCGGCCACTCGCTTGATGTAAGCGTAGTTGTTGTACGGGTACCTGGCTCCTTGGTGCGGGTTGTAGCTGTTCTCGTAGTAAGAAAACTTGTTGTACTCGTCTTCGTAGTATTTATTAGCATTGATAGATGTCTGGGAGCGTTGCTGTCCGTAGCCATTCACTGGTTCCATGGGGTATGGGTGAGCACTTTTCGGTACGTTGTTCGAATAGTATTTCACTTTTCGTTCCTTATTTTCGTAGTTTTCCAAGTTGTCGCGCGTGGCTTTCGCTGGTTGGACTCCGAGCTCAGGGTGAGCGTACTGTAGGACAGGATTCCTCACACTTTCGTCGAACCCTGGTCGAGCATTCTTGGGTGTGTACAGAGCGGAGTTGGGAAAATTGACTTCACCAGGGTGTTGCAACATACGCCTCTGAATGTGGCTCTCAGCGAATTCCATGTCTCCATTGTGTGACCTCGAGCTGCGGCCGCTGAAGTAGTCACGTTTCGATTCCTGCTCGTTAATTTGTTTAATATACTCGATGAGTTTTGAGTTTGCAACTTTCGAATTATCCGCTTTGGTGAAAGGACCGTAGCCGGATTTAAGATAATAATTGTCTTTTTTCTGTTTGTATGAGTACGTCGGGTTGTCACTCGTCAAGTATGGCCCGCTTTCAGATGCATCATATTTCAGGTTGTCGAATTTGGTGAATGGTCCGTCTTTGGGCTCGAAGTTGTCCTCCTTTGTGAAAGGTCCAAAACTTTGCGAAGGGTCAGCGGCTGCCACGTCTGGGTACACATCGGCTTCTGGGATCGCTTTTGGTGGAGTGTAACCTTCTGGGTAAGGAAGCAATTCTCCGTTCACAACTCTCGCGTTGCGCCAGGTTTTTTTGTCAGATTCATCATCAGGCATTCTTACACCTTGGATCTCTGGAATACCGTCATCGCCTAGTGTAAGGATTGACCTACCACGCTTATTATTGTATTTTTCAATTGCCTTTTTTATGTACATTGGCTCGGAGTTTATTACGACAGGGTCTGGCACTTTGTAAGACTTACCTTCACCCTCAGAAACTTTCGTACTCACGACTTCAATATATACTGGGTTCCTGTCGTTCTTGATGACCGGGTTGTGTGGGTCAAACTTGTAGCTTTTGATAGGTCCACCGTAGTCAAAGAGACTGGTTGAAGTGATGTAGACCTTTTTGTTTTCTGTCTTCTTCTCGTTATCGTACGTGGGGTAGTAGTTTAACGTTTCAGGATCAGCTTCTGGTTTCTTTCCATCTTCTTGGATAACAGATTCAGGATATACTGACACTGGTGACCAGTTTCCGTATTCTGCCTTGACATCGCTTAATTCCTCAGGGCTTTTATTGCGGTTGAGGTAATAGTCGTAGCCAGCGAGATCGCTATTGACTCCACCCATGAAATTTAATTTTCTTTGGTCTCTCGACTCTGTCTTATTTTTGTTTTCTTCAGTAGCGTTGAAGATTGGCACAGTAGTTCTGAGAGAGGCTGTGGTGGGTGTGGGAGTGGTGCTACTGGCGTATGTGGTGGATTTGTCTTTCTTCTTAACGATCAGCTGCGTGACGTGTCCTGCTTTCGTTCTGACATTGAGTGTTTGTGTGTCCAGAGGGTTCAGACTTCTGGAAACTTTTAGTTCTGTCCTTGTGGTCCTCGAGGGCAGTATTGTGGTTCGGATTGTCTTCGTAGTCGTTGTGTTCTGTTCTGCGACCTCTGCGAGGGCGGCGCAGAAGAGCCACAGTATGGCGCCTGTCCGTATTACGGGAATCATCTGCAACAAGCAATGAGGAAGTTGTCAGTCTCGTTGCGTCATCGATAGTAAAAATGATTTATGGATTTAGTTGTCGCCTAATTAGTTATGTAGTATATTTATATTATATGTTTAATTAACGCTATATAAGCCCCACATTTTAAAGTGAAAGTGAATAATTTATATTCCTACATGTAATTTGTTTGAATACTCTTTACGGTAGCTGGTTTCTTTATTTATACTTCCTTTGACTTGTGCTTGAGTTTTATATTCGTAACTTCAAAATGAAATCTCAAATACGATTCAAATTGTATTAATTGGCAAGAAATTGGGACATATCCAATTATTGAAGTAAACATAGTTGTAAGTAGCTGGTGGATGCAATAATTTTATTTATTCATGTATCGTGTAGTGAACGTGTGGTTGTGACGTCACGTGTCGATCATGATATCGTATCGATTTCTTTAATATATGAGTGAAGGTAAAAGTGCTATAGTGGAAGCTTTTACTGCGAGTGTGAGTACCAATCACGAAAACTATAGAAAATGCGATGATCATGTGGCTAGTGAAATCATGGTATTACGCACAGATTCTAAACATTACGGATAGCCGTAGAAAGTGTTGAAGAAATGCATCGGTGTGAAATTGTTTTCCAACTGTTGCGTTGGTGGACGATGTTGATGAAATGAAGCTCCGGGATGACGGCATTGGACGTAGTTTATATGAATAAGTTTATTATTTTGAGGTAGAACTGTGACATGCACGCTGCGTCACCTCACTTCTGTTTTGTTAAACTAATTTAAGTAAATACCTCTTGCAAGTAAAGAAAAATTCACAATATTTAACACCTTAATCCTGAGACTTCATCACGTCACTGTTAAAAACGTCGAAGGCCTTAGCCAAGTCAAGGCACAAATGTATCGCGGATTGTATCATTAGGTTGTCCCTATCGCTAATGTTTTTGTAACTGTTAATGTCTATAAAGGTGTAAAGAGAACAGAAAGATGTTGGAACAAATCCGTGTCTATGAATACTGAACAAAGTTGCATGTTTTATAAAATGACTGTTGGTTCGATGTCGCGGTCGTGCGCCGGCATCGAATTAGTGGCCTGTCGCGTTATTGTTGGCTCCACTAATATATGGATTGAGGAGTATTGCTTTCAGGTTGATGTACATTTAGTAATTAGTCGCTATTACGTCGGTCTAATTAGTTGGCATATTAGCTGTGTTTTTATAATAGGTGGCATCTACATAGTTATGTAGTATTAATATACGCCACTCTTCTTCTTTTGTACCATTATATAACCAATGTTTGTTTTCTTATTACTTATAAATCTATATGTAAATGACCTAAGTATCCATTGAATGCTCTTGTAAGTAGAATAATCTGTTGCGTCCTGAATCGTATTTTTTAAAGTCAACCTGTTGTGACCATTTACGTGTAGTGACGTGACATGTTCTGCAAGCTTTCCATCGATTGATCGGTAAAGTATTACGCATCGATTATTCGCAATCGCATTGATTCGGTAAAAAGTCTGATTAGTGAGCTATTAGCGGTGAAACTCACAGTCGTACATATGTGAGCTGTGATTATGTTTAGTCACCTGCGGAAGTTGGCGCGTCGGCAGATGCAAGGAAGCGATAGCGGACCTTCACAATAATATACGTGTCACATCACTAGTAGCCTTTTGTAAAAGTCATGTGATGTAATTGAATTTCACATAATAATATTACCATCATGCGTGCATGAGCGGCTGGACCAATTCTGGGTTTTTAAGTTATGTTTGTTTAGAAAAAGATGATAAAAATTGATGAAAATTTTAGAAAAGTACGAGTTGAAAATTAGGAAATAGCAACTCTTTCGACGCTGTGGCGTTAAACTCACAAAACAAATGACTGACATCGAGGTAGATGGAAGTAACCGTATAGAGCTGGGGCGGGTAGCTTGTTAAATGGGGATATCAATGAAGTTGGATGCACCAAGTTAATAATTTTACTGCGAGGAAAAAGGATAGGAAATTATCTAGATTCGCGTAAGCCCGGTGCTATCAAAGGTTCTACTTACACTAGCCGGCGGCGCGTGCGTCGGTGAAAACTAGGATACAGAACCTACATGCCACATGGAGAGATGATGCCCCTAAGCAGAGCGATTACGTTTTTACATCGTGATTGCCTATGAGCAAGCATGTGAAGTATCCACCCATGTCCGTACATTCATTAGCCGCTTGCTAATTGAAGGTTTCAATTAAGGACAAGCACTTACTCGGTAAATATGAAAACCCTGAATACACCGGCTGCCCTTTTATGCCTATAAAAAGACAGCTGGTGTGTTTTACATGAACGCCTATTCAAATAAACTTGTAAAGAAATAAATATAGCGGAGGTCAATTGTATTTTTTTAACTCCACACAAATCTGACCGTGATTAAAGGCCAATAAATATGATGAAATAAAAGTTATTCAGAAAGGAATACTTAAACAATATTACGTATAAGTATGCGGGTATTTAGTTAAATATATTAACTGTGTTTCTAATCGTCGCATCTGAACAAACGGACGAAGGTAACCGCGAGGTTAGCGCGAGGTTTAGTATAACTGCTAGATAGATACAATTAACTACGCTCTGTTAACTGCAGTATCTGTTTGTACATCTGTGTAATTATATGTTTAGTGTTTGGATCGCTTTTTGCACTAATTAGCTCGTTAGATAGCTTTTTATTGTAATTTGTTTGGCGTAGGTGCGCCGCACTGTTCGGCGTGATAACGTAAATAGGTGCGAAATGTTGGTTTCCTGTGTGTAATCAGGACAGGTATGGCAGAGCCAAACGGTGTCATGTTTGTGTGCAATAATGTTGTAATTTGTAAGTACTTTTTGTCTATTGATAAGTAAGTTCGCCCGCGTAGTATATTTGTAAAAGCCATACTTCGACCAAATCGGTCCAGCCGTTTCTGAGTGTAAGAACAACAAACATAATATGCACATCCATACATTCTCACAAACTTTTACATTTATTTATTCATAATCTAATCCACCATTACAGGTTTGTCTTAATGAGATTTATAATATTAGTATGATAGGAGGTGGAGCTTATAGATGCAAAGTTTTAACTGTCAAGTGTAAGTTTACACGAATCGCCGATGTGTAATTTAATCAGTTTGTTACTCCTACGATCACTTACTTCTACGACAAGCTGTGCTATAAGTTTATGTATTTCCAGTACGTAGGTAGGTATATCGAGAGTCACGAAGTGTATCTTTATGGGGTTTGTACTCACGTTCAGTAGTACAGCTAAACGTAATGAGCTCTGTAGCCGCGTCAAATACCACGACCTGCGCCTGACCTTACATAACATGGCAATTTGATTGAGTATATTTAATACCTACTTATTGTATAAATATAAATAATCGATTTTAAGATAATGCAGGGGTCAGTGCATGAAACGTCCTGTGGCTGATCCTGCTATATGTAGGTATCAAAACGCAAGCATGTCTTTATAAATATGATAAGACGGATGATGGATCACTGAGAATGCCTATTATAAGTATTAAGTCTTTGTCGTAAAGATTCCATTTGTTGAAAAATGAACCAATTCTTTTGCTTAACTAATACAAACAAGTATCTCATCACACCAAGTTCAGTTGGACGGCTCAGTGGCTGGCGCGGACGCAGTCGTGTGATATCACATATACCTACCTACCTACTTAATTTTAATTTCTCCACCGATGACGACGCAGTCACTGGGTTTCAGGAACTGGAGCGTTCAGTGAAAACGCACCGACTCGTCCACACACGCATACACACACACACACACAAACGCACACACATACATACTTAGTGTCTTGCGCGTGCGCATCACATACGTTGATCTGATGCATTAACTCCTAATTTATTAGTTAATTGACTTATTTAGATACTATAAACGTTTTTATTAATTTTTGATACCTAATTACGAAGTGGTAGGTAATTAGGAAGCTGTATTGGTATTTAGGTGTAAGATCCTGTTTAATTAATCTATAGTTGTTAAAATTGACTAGTATTAAATAAACAAAACACCTATGTAATTAGTTGAGCAAAAATTTGATCATTGAGGATGGACAATCTTTAAGAGAGATCCACTGAATATTTACTTACTGACTGAAAGCTATCTTGATATCCCGTCATAACTGTGCTCATGGCGTTATATACTCATTGATAATAAATTAAATTAAAAACTATACTTAATGTTCAAATATATACTCAAACCACGTTATTAGGCTGCTTATTATTATCTAGATATCCATTTAAAGGTTTTGTCATGTATGTAGCGTAGTGTTGCAATGAAAATAAAAATGTGCTGCTTCAATTTTCTCTTCTGAGGTTACGTTTGCATGGAGATGAACACATTTAATATTACTTAGTTTCAGATTTAAAAGTTAAAGCAGCGTGATAATTTGTCTAATATTTTTTTATGAACATCGCTAAATAAATCGTTAGCAAATTATTTATTTAATAAAGCTAACAATGTGTATCCTTCCTAACTTATCACAATCATGTTTTTCTTTAGCCAGTCTTATATGCTGTAATACTCGTATATATTACATACTAGCGAACCGCCCCAGCGTCGCACGGGTGCAATGTGCATGCGAATACTAAATTTCTCCTCTATTTAATTAATGGATGTTATTATACATATTATAATAAAGCTTCCTCTTCAATCACTCTATCCATAAAAACCGCATCAAATTCAGTTGCGTTGTTTCACAGATTTAAGCATACATAGGGATATAGGGATAGAGAAAGCGACTTAGTTTTATACTATGAGGTGATTGCTTGATGCTAAGGACTGATTTTTCAATAGTCAGATAAATGTTATCTGTGGAATATAATTGTTGCTGTCACTGTCTTATACAAACATTCTGACGCGACAGCATAATAATTATTCCCCGGGTAACTTTTATCTAACCATTGAAAAATCAGCCCAAAGATAGATAAACTTTTATTGGAACTAGGTCACAAGTAATCGCGTTTTGTTTCGCACCGTC